AACCTAACCTAACCTAACCTACGATATTCACGAAATGCCGAAAACACAGAAAAAATAACGAGAAAACGGTCATTTCTATGTTATGTATAAGACGTTAAGTATGTGTTTTTTTTTCAATTTCAACAGCTCATAGTAGGCGCCTCGATGACAGCACGAAGATGTATGTAGGCTTGTTGGAAAGGGAAAATATTCAGCTTTCATACGAGTGGTCGGTGATGTAACTATCTTAAGGACTTGTCGAGAAAGTCACGAAAAACTGTAAATACTGAATAAAAAACGAAAAAAAATGTTCTTCAGCTTATAACAGGCGACTCGATGACAATACAATGACGAATGTAGGCGCGTTGGAAAGGTGAGATCTTCAGCTTTCATACGAGTGGTCTATGATTTATTTACCTTTAGGGGTTCTCGAGAATATTCACGATGTCCGAAAACACGAAAAAAATAACGAGAAAACGGTCATTTCTCTGTTATGTATAAGACGTTAAGTATGTGTTTTTTTTTCAATTTCAACAGCTCATAGTAGGCGCCTCGATGACAGCACGAAGATGAAGGATTTGTCGAGAAAATCACGAAAAACTGTAAAAACTGAATAAAAAACGAAAAAAAATGTTCTTCAGTTCTTCAAATGTAGGCGCTTTGGAAAGGTGTGACATTCAGCTTTCAGACGAGTGGATAAACATCGTTTCTTTGTGTTTATGAGGTTGCGCGATAATACAGAAACCTGTAATTATGAGGATGCGAGAAATTCAGAAACATGATTGACGTAGCAAAAGTCACGTAACTTTTCCTCATATATTATTGCAAATTGCTCAACTGGGTTATATAGCAATAATTGCGACCCGACCCGACGTATTTAACTATTTGAAATGTAATACGCATTTCCAAGACTTACAGCAGTCATAAAATACAGCATTAATAATCATTATTTGTTATATATCTTTATTTACAGTACAAAATAATAACGTAAAATAAGAAAAAAAAATTAGATCATCCTCGATAGATACAAAAAAATTTAAAAGAAGAAAAAAAATAGAATTATTGTTAAAAATAAAGTGCAGCAATCCAGGCAAAAAAGAGGAGACACGTTTGTTGACAAAAGTTCCAACAATTGCAACAGAAAATTGCGGTGAGAAAAGTAAATGGAAAACTGGAGCAGAAAAACAGACTAACATCTGCTGTCAAAATCACACGAATAGCCTCAGAGGTTGGAGGGAGGAAAGGGGGTTGTTTGCGGTTGGTTGATTTGGAGCGTCGTTGTATGTTTGTGGATAAAAAAAAAACAATTGAAAACGGAAAAACAAAATATTAACTCCACCGCCGCCTAACTCTCCTTCGTCCGATACACGCCACTTTTTAGTCAGTTCAATTCCGACAGTCGAATCCGGAGAAATTTTAATTATAAATATATATATATATGTGTATATTACTTAATTAATACCAATAAATACAAAGCACCTATCGTACATAAAAAAAATAATGATAACTTATTTTTTTATATATATATATATATTATAGTAAACTGCGAAATTCAACGGAGGGAAAAGAGGGAGTGTTCACCGATTCACAGGGATGGATGACGGAAAAAAATAGGTGGAGTTTAGGCATCGAATCGACTCCTCCTCTTCCTCCTCCCACACGCACACCAGTCCACGCCCCGATAACCATGGCGATACAAGAGAAAATACAACAACAACAACAAATGACCCTTGTTCTTGGAAAGAACGGGTAGTCGCAGAAGAGGGTGGTCAAAGTTGGAATATTCGGTAAATCAATGCTTCCTTTTGCTTTCGTAATAACATCTAATATTTTTTGTTATACAAACCAATAATACACCTTCATATCATTATCATCATCATCATCATCTTCTTCATCACCATCAAAACACACACACACGCTCACATACATATTATATATATATATAACATACGCATGCAAATCCGTGCGCGTGAGTGTAAGTATGTGTGTGTGTGTGTTCAAGCACCCTGCTCTGCATACGTGTGCACACGAGGAGTGCGACTGTATTTCCATATTTAGGCTCGATTTTTTAATATTAAACGAAAAACATATATATTCATTATTATTTCCCCCCACCGATGATGAATCAATAATAATAAAAGAAAAGAAAAAAACAAACGAAAAAGTTCAGATGCGTATGCATATAGTGCATGTGTAGTAATATATAATTAATACACGCGCGTGCACACACACACACACAAAATATGCATGTTCAATGTATAAAAAAAATCGAAATTCAACTACGCACATGGGGGTCTTGTCTTGTCTTGTTTTGTCTTCTCATCTCTACCACGAACAGAAACATAAAAAAGAAGCGGCGCACAAAGACATTGCGACATCTTTAGCAGCGGAGATCAATTAAATCGTCCGTTATAATTAGCAGTCTATGCGCCCGAGAGAAAGAGCGAGACAAAGAGAAAGAGAGAGCGAGCGAGATGAAAAGACAATAAAATAAACAATCGACGACGACGATGACGTCGTCGGGGGCAGGCGNNTTGTTATTACGTAATTATTTTTCTTTGTCCTTTCTTATTCGTCGACCATCAGCATCCCACACCCCTCATCCTCCTCCACCACCTCCTTTACAGTTGCTTCGCTCCGTCGTGTTTACCATTTCTGTTTTTAACTTGTTAACAGCTATATATATATATATATATAATATCTAAACCGCCCAAAATGTAAATATATATATAATACGTCTCTCGCGCACGCACCACGCACGCACACACGCACGGACTTATACATATGTATATGTATATAAATGAGATACACATATATAGAGTTCTTCTTGTTCTTCGGCATAATTCTCACAACAACAAAGTCCAAATCATTGTGCTCCTCCCCCGCTTATCATCCTCCACTCTTCCATCAATATCATCTTCAACGAGAAGATTCGTGTACATATGTGACGTGTATCTTGATTTGATGTTGTTTTGTGTGAGTGTATGTGTGTGTGTTTGTTTGTTTGTAAAAAAAATCTTCTTATTCGACGACTTTGAGGACCTTTCCGATGGCAATGGTTTTATCTGAAAATAGGACAACGTTAAGCAATTGTAAATGAATTTAAAAAAAAAAACAAAGAAAGAAGATACAAGTTTATGACTATTGATTGTGACCAAAGTTTAGTGAGCTAATGAAAATTGAAATTGTTTCGTAGCCAGTGGAACGTTTGGATCTTTGCTTTACGTCTTGTCTGACACTCGAGAATCATGGCGTAATTATATGGGATAATCGAGTAACACAAAGACGAAAGAGAGAAAGAGATGTGCGTTTGTTTGGTTGTATACTCACTTTCATCCCTGAGGGTGAATCGGCCCATCTGCGGGAAGAGCTTGAACGATTCGAGGCAGATGACACCGGCGCACTCTATTCTCATTATCGCGACCTGATCCTGCTTCACGAATCTCGGTCGCGTTTTGCTCTTTTCCCCCGTCTTCTTGTCGACCAAACATATTAAGGCCTGAGGATGAATCAACATAAATATAGTACAAATACAAAGGGTTAGAAACAACAATAACTTACTTTAACGGTGACTTCTTCTGCGGCGCAATGAATGTGCATGACGGCGCTGTATCCGGCGCAGATGATCGACTTGTGCTCGAGGATGACGAGCTGCGCGTCGAAGATGCGACCGGTTCGAATGGGATTGGAGGCATCGCAGAGAACGAATCCTGGTGACACATCCTCCTCTTCAACTCCCTTCACCTTGATCTTCACGTTCTCACCGGGCAACAGCTGGCTGACTTCGTCGTCATCAGACCACAGCTGATCCACGATCACGGGCGTCTGCGTGTTCAAAAAGAAAATCGGAATAAGAACAAACACTACTCACCGAACGCAACGTAAAATAATTGCAACTTTGAGAATGTTGTATGTATGTATGTGTGTCCTCACACTATGGCACCAGACATGGAAATGTACTGAGCCGACTCTCGAGGACGTAAACGGATGCGAGGCCTGGTGAATTCTACGCGCCAGAACGGCAACGCGGATTTCGGGCGCGAATGCAAGCGTCTTGCTCTGCCACAGGTGTAACGCTGTCTAAATCATGGTCAAAGGATTATAGACTGCTGACCCCATGTGGCGTTTACAAAAAGGAGAGAGAGAGAGATAAATTTTAAACGTGGCTCACCCTGTTCGGCATGATCATGAGGTTGGTGCCCTTGCGGCAGTTACCGGACTCGACCTTTCCCATGACGACGGTGCCCATGTCCTTGTACTTGTCGACGATGGGCATGATGAAGGGGCCGTCCGCTTTGCGGTTGAGCGATGGAAGGTCGTCGATGAACGGAATGAAGGCTGGCCCCCGATACCAGGGGCACACCTTCTCGTCGATCTGCTCGCGCAATCCTTGTCCCGTCTGTCCGCTGCACGGCAGGAAGCTCAGATCCTTGGCCGGATTGAAACCGAGCTTCTTCAGGTACGGCAGTATCTTGTCCTTGCATTCGTTGTACCTGCCCTCGTCCCAGTTGACCGTCGAATCGTCCATCTTGTTCACAAGAACCACCAGGTGCTTCACGCCTGCCGTCTTTGCGAGCATGGCGTGCTCCCTCGTCTGTCCGCCCCTATCGAATCCAGTCTCGAATTCGCCTTTACGAGCAGATATCACCTACAACGACAACAACAACAACAAAGTAACATTAATAATCAATCATCTTCGTTGATGTTGTTTTTCGCATTACCAGAATTGCTAAATCAGCTTGAGCGGCACCGCTGATCATGTTAGGAACGAAACTCTTGTGGCCTGGCGCATCCAGGATCGTAAAGTGTTTCCTTTCCGTTTCAAAATAGGCACGACCAACTTCCACTGTTTTTCCCTTGTCTCTTTCTAGAAAAATTCAACAAAACGGTCCATTAATAAAAAATATTCCTATAAAATAATAATCTTGCAACGCAACGCAACAAATAGTTGAAGAGAAAAATTTAAAAAAAATTAAATACTATTACAAAAATATTATTATATATATATTAACAAAGATTTAGAAGTAAAATTGAAAGAAATGTGTGTTCACAAATAATCCAGATAAAAATAAAATATTATCTAGAGAGAAAAATAAAAGTATTTGGAACGGTAGTAAAAACACAGGCACAATGGAGCAGATTCACTAAAACAGTGAATCACTCCGAACCAATGTAGATACCATGATCTGCCACAGGTGTAACGCTACTAAATTTATTTATGTAAATTAAGCTGCTGACTCCATGTGGCGCCGATGACAATATAAATAGAAGTAATAATAGGAAAAGGTATAATTGTAATTACCTTCTTGATTTGTGTCGAGGGCCCATGAGAGATACCAGCTCTCCCTGCTCTTCTCGCGAGCCTCCCTCTCGTACTTCTCCAACGTCCTCTTGTCTACCATGCCTGTGAGGGCCATGATCTGACCACCGATTGTCGACTTGCCGGCATCCACGTGTCCGATGAAAACCACGTTCACGTGCTCTTTTTTGCTCCTCGCGGACTCTTCAACGACTTTGGGGGGCTGTGCGTTCGATAAACAAAAACAAAAAGAGGAAAGAGTTGAAATAATTGAACGCACGAAGAAACAAAAATGATTGTAGAAAAAAAAAATGAGAGAAGAGAAGAGAAAAAAATGGAGAAGTAATATTTGTAAAGACACGTGGTGCGTACCTTGGGTGCTTCTTCGGAAGAGGGTTCCTCGTCGTCGCCCTCCGGAGTGAGCAGCATCTGTTCGTTGTCGTTGTCCTCGGCGACGTCCTCCCATGTGCCGCCGCCTCCGTCTCCAGGGGATGCATCCCCGTCGGCCGGGGGAATCGGTGGAGGTTCCTTGACGACCACCCGCTCACCGCCTTCTGCGCCGCTCGTGCCTTCACCACCACCACCACCGGAAACACAATTGTTTTTAACTTTGCCATATTGCGGTTCATCAACCATTATGATGGATGGATGTGAAATGTATATGAGATGTGACGACAGCGACTACGATGATGATGACGACGACGACTTTATAGTATAATATAATGGAGTGGTGGAGAGCGCCAACGTTGCACTTTTGACGGTGAATGACGAACGAATGTACGAATGAACGAACGAACGAACGTATGATTCGTAAGAAAGGAAAGGAGGATATAAGTAGTAAGGGAAGTAATAACGAACGAGAGAGTTGGCAAATGAATAAGACGATGTTGATGATAATGATATCTCTTACCATTGACGACGATGTTCGTCTGCTGCTGCTGCTGCGGCAAGGGCGAAGAAGTGTGTTCAGGGGTTGCCGATGCTGACGTCGATGATGAGGATGTCGCTGCGTTATCGCTGGCGACGACTGCACCTTCTTCTTGAGACGCCGTCGACGTTGTCGTCGTCTTGTTGGGCGAGGATGTTGCGCTGCTGCTGCTGTTATTGTTACCGGCAGCCGATGCTGCTACTACTGCTGCTGGTGCTGCTGCTGCTTCAACTTGGCCACCCTCTACCTCCTCGTCATCGTCCTCGTCCTGCGACGATTGAAACGATCCAAAGGAGGGCACGAATTCCACCGCGTTCACATTCAACGTGGAGAATTTGGCGGAGGCGTCTTCCGCAGCTTCCGCCGCCGCAGCAGCAGCAGCAGCCGCCGCCGCAGCGTTTGCCGCACCGTCAGCTTCCGTCTCCCAGCTGTCCGGTGCTGTGTAATTGGACGTGGACATTGTCGTATGTATGCGTACGTCCGTGTTGCGTTGCGTTGATGAATATATTCTCTCCTCACCCGTCCGTCACCCGTCGTCGATCTATACGCGCCTTCTTCCTCAACAATACGCGCGTCGTCCGTTCAATCTTCTCTTCCCTTCTTATGGCAGCAGCACGGTTCACCGCAACAAAACAACAGACACACCATACGGTGGCTAGCCCAGATTTTTTTTTCTTTCCTCTGGAAACGTGTGGCCGCGTGTTTGTTGCGTGCGTTACACCACAAGCACCGAACCGGATATCAATGGCCGAAACGTCATTTACCTAAGACCGGCCGGCGCTGCCAACCCACCGACGTCGACCCTCTGTGAATCTGACCGGCGTCGCATTTTCATCATTTCCAAGCGAATTCCTCTCGCTGCTGCTGCTGCTGCTGCTGCAAATGCTCCTGATTCGAAGCGCATTCGATCGCATTATAAATATTCGCGTTGGTCGAGCAAAAAATAAGATAAGATTAAAGAAAAAGAAATTTGAAGACCAAAAAAAAAACAATAACTGATCGGGCGAGTTTAAGAAACCGGAAGCTTCGAAATGCGCGTTCAGAAGCAGCGCGCCAATTTCGAAATTCAAATTCGAAAAACTTTGTTCGATCGAGCATCATACGAATAATATCTTTCATATTCCGATACGCAAACCCAACAATGTCAAATGCACAAATATATATATTTAAACTGAAAACGCAACTCATCGCATATTTCATAGCGCGGCAACACGTTCGACACTTGTGTGCAAATAAAAGTAAATTCTAATTTGTAATTAATTACATAAAGCGAATAATAGATTATTTCTTTTTAAATGTATTTATTATTTTTTGTATTTTTGCTATTTATTTGCGGAGACGGCGGATGCTGCTGCCGTTGCAGCTGCGGTCGTTCCTTTCGATTTCTCAAGTTTCTCTCTCTCCAGTCTCATCTGGCGTTTCACCGCCTTCGTCTCGAGCTCCTCGTAATGATCGGCAAAGAGCATCTTCAGTGCCGGATAGAGGATCGGTACCAGCGGCAACTCGTCCATTTTTACCTGCATATTGTCGAAGGCGATGCCGATGTTTTCGGTAAAGTTCTCGTTGAAGCGAGGCAACTTCGCGTACCGCTGACTGAAATGCGTTAGCAGCACGTACCTGGCCTTCATCAGACGGCCGACCTCGATCGCCTGGGACGTCGTCGAATGCATCTTTACGACTGCCTCGTGCGCCAGCTCGTCCTCCATGGTCGCCTCGTGGATGAGCAGATCGGAGCCCATGCCCAGCTGGATCAGATCCTCGCTGGGCATTGTGTCACCGCTGTACGTGATCTTGAATCCTCGCCTGTGACGAAGTGCGACGCCGAACGCGTTCGGACAGTGTCGCACGTAGCAAGTGCTTATTTGCTCCATGTCCAGGTCGGAGAGGATCTGCTGCATGCGGGTCGCGTCCAGCGTCGGCCCGGTCATCAGCAGATCGCCGTTGGGGATGAGCTCGTAATCGGCGGAGATGCCCTCGAAGCAGAGGTCGTAGAAGTGCAGCCAGCTGAGGATCTGCTTAGGCGCGAACAGCCGCACCGGCTTTGGGGGCATGTCGAGTAGTTGCCTGGCTCTGCGACGTCCCTGCAGATAACCGATGAGACCGATGTGATGGTCGGCGTGGAGATGCGAAACGTAGATCGCCTCAGTTCGTGCGAGCACATCGCGACTCTTCTCTTCTCCGAAGAATCGAACCACCTGCCCGTACGTGCCCTCGCCGCAATCGACGACCACGTTGATCTTGTCGCTGTCGAGGAGAAATAACATGAAACATATGCATTCAGTCAGAACAATAATAATAATAATAATAATCGAACCTGATCTGCAGCAAAATGCCGCTCGTGTTTCTGGTCTTGTTGGGAATGCATGAACCTGTGCCCATGAACAACACCTTCGGGTATTCGTTCACCACCAACGTCGATTTTTTCTCCGACAATTTCCTTTCGAGTTCCGGCAGAGTATCTTCGACGTCGACCACCTTCATTCCTTCCTCCACGTACTCTTTGGGGTTCAGCTTCAGCTCGTTGCTGACATCGTAACCTTTCCTCGGTCGTAAATGGAAAATACCGACGGTCGATGGTTGGATAATCTGCGAATCACTTCTGCAAGTATTCGTCGTTGTCGTCGTCGTCTTCTCCTCATCCTCCTTCACCACCGTAATCTTCGTTCCTTTGTCGCCCAGCAACGGAAAGATGTCAGGACTGAGAAGATTGAGCTGACATTGGATGCGATGCACTGACGTACTTCCCATGCAGACGTTCGCATCGTTGATCGCCATATGCCTCGTGCTCGGTGAGAACATTTGAAGCCATCTCTGATATCTGCAACAATTCGTAAACACGTAACATCTCGAATTTCCAGTATATATAGAATTTTAAATTATCGATTATTACTTCGGATGTTGCATCACATTCTTGGGTGTGAAATGTACAACCAGGTAGGCCAAATCCTCGTCGCAGACTGCGTTTTCCTGATGCTTACGATAGCTAGCGTTGTTCACCAACGAATCCAAGTACTCTTCGCCGGGGCAATCGACGACTGCACAACAACAAATGCAATATTAATATATAAGTATTTCAGTCGCCTCTGTTAAGATGTTGACGAACCCAAGAAGACGGGTCCCGGGTCGTCCGGTTCGCAGACATCGGACGCCTTGACAACGGTACCGTTCGTAAGTGTCACATCGCTGCCTCCTTTGAGTTGTCCGAGCAACGGCCCCGGGGGCACCCCGAATTTGACGCACTTCTCCAGACACAGGGTGCCAGGTCTGGGCGTCAGCCTGCAAATATAACCCATCACGACTCCCTTCTCCTTGGTCTCGGCCAGCTCAGCCTTCGCCTCTTCCGAAATACTGTTGCTCGCAAACTTGGTGCCATCAACTGTAATAAAGAATATATTTAATATTTAGTATTTGTGCAAGAACAAGAGTGTGTGTGTGTGTGTGCGCGCAAGTAATTATAAAAAGCAATCAATGTAAACGATCGAAATCAATTAATGTGATTGCACATCTTGATTAGAAGAAACCTTTCTCATCCCATCATCAACTATCATCTTGATAATGGGGAGAGAGAAACAGAGAGTGGCGAGCTTACGTTTAAAAGTAAATAATTTAATGTGTTTGAAAGGAAATACCTGCAGGTGAGCTGGATCTATTTCTATCTAAACGAATGAGCTTACTTTCGTTTCCATAATAGTTCGTTTCATCCTCGGACACACTTAAGCTACGACTACGAGACCTGGACTTGGAGCGTCGCCTTTTCCGAGTGTCCCTCGACTCTGTGCTAGTCGCCACATCCATCTGATCCCAACGACCAAACAAAAAATGAAAGAAAAAGAACACTCAATTAGATTGCGCAACACGACGACGTACGCGATTGCTTCACATACATTCGGACTTCCGGCAGTCTGCGTGCATTTGTCACCCTCATTCGTTCCGTCGCAAAGATCCGCTTTACTCAACGGCACGTACTGCACATTCATCACGTTATCGGAGAAGCTGCTGCCTTCCTCGCAGTCGGCCATCTCCAGCTTTAAATTCTTCATCACCACAAATCTTTTTGTCGCTTTGAACAGGAAATCCTGCAATTTTTAATATTTCACATACAATTCCAATATGATGATTATTATTATTATTACCAATCCCTTGGGTCCATGCAAAGTGATTTTTGGCACCCCAACATCCTGTATAGTCAGAGCGGTGCCTGGCAATCCACCCATGTTTTTCCAAGTTGCCTGCGTCACAAAGATGTGCTCCAATTTTGCCAATTTCATTTTGTGTTCGTGAGCCAGCCTCTGTGTGCCCTCGCCACAGTTAAACAAATACCTGCAGCAGAAATGCAATTGATAAGCATGATGAGATTACACATAGAATTGAATGATTTTACTACCTTGACTGATCGGTGAATATGTACAAACTTCTAGGTGCGCCGTTGGCACCGCTGCCCAGCACCTGCAGTGACACCTTGCCCGGCACATACTTGGCACTCTTCTCTTTGATTTTCAGTCTCTGTCTCTGCGCCTCCGCGACGTGCGTCATCTCTTTCGGCATACTCTTGTACCTGTTGCCTACAGTGTTGAGGTTAGTTTTTTGTGCTACGAAGATGATTCGCGAGACGATGCAGCTGCTGCCGGACAACCTGCAATTGAATAGGAACGAGGACATGCGAGGATTCGTAACTTATGCGGAATTAAAAAACATATTAATTGATACACGCACGACTTGATGGGGTGATAGTGGTGGTGGTGTAGCACAGAGGAGGAATGAATTAATTTTCGTCTCTTTTCAATATCGCAACATTTTCTTTGTTAAACTCTGCTTAAAATTGTTTGAATGTGGTGCGAAATGGTACGAAACGCTATGAATTTTGCTGCGAACACTATCGCACGCCGTCGCACGATCGCGCAAGATTTTGACGGATCACTCAAATTTGGTTACAAAAACAAAAGAGAAATAGAAGAAATTCAAATATTACATTACCAACTGTCATGTCTTAGCGCAATGTGATTGGGTGTGATTACATTTGTTTACACACTATTTGCTCGGAGATTTGGTCAAAATCTAAACTCGCATTATTCATTGAGAATAATTAAGAAATGCAACAATTGTTGCAAAACAAAAATAGTGATTATAACAAATGTGTTGACATTAGCAACAGTTGGATATGAATGTTAATGAATGAGATATGCGACCAACTTCACCGTTATTATGTGTCACATGTGGTGGGTCAGGAATATAACCTCGAAAATAAACAGAATTTTGATGAGGATGGAGGTGGCCGCTGAAAAGAACGTCAAGGTGATCGAGGAGGGCTCGGCGAAGATAAAGACGGCAGGAAACGTGTTTTACAATCCGGTGCAAGAGTTCAATCGCGATCTGAGGTGAGCGGAGAGTTTGTTGCTGAAGCAAAGAACAAAGACGCAAAGTCTATTAAGCGTTATTTTCATTATTCCTGCAGTGTTTTAGTTTTGCAGACGTTCAGCAAGACCTTCGAGCGGAGCAATTTGAGTATATTGGAAGCGCTGTCGGCAACAGGACTGAGGAGCATCAGATATGCCAAAGAGATTGAGGCTGTCGAGAAAATAGTGGCAAATGACATAAGTATAAAAGCAGTTCAAGATATTAAGGTCAATATCGATGAGAATGGGGTTTCCGATATTGTTCAAGCGAATCAAAGTGATGCGACGTTAGTGTTTGGTGTTTGTCGAGAGGTAGTTGTAGTAATTGTTGTTGTTTTGTAGGATGTTCATGTATGAGAATCGGAGGAAACAGTTTGATGCGATAGACTTGGACCCGTACGGGTGTCCATCGATATTCTTGGACGGAGCCGTGCAGGCGGTGAAAGATGGTGGTTTGCTGCTGGTGACGGCCACCGATATGGCAGTGCTCGCAGGGAACTCGCCGGAAACTTGCTACGCGAAATACGGATCTGTTTCGTTGAAGACGAGGAGCTGCCACGAGATGGCTTTGAGGATCCTGCTGCAGAGTATCGAGAGTCACGCGAATCGCTACGGCAGATACATACAGCCTCTGCTCTCAATATCGGCCGATTTTTACGTGAGGGTTTTCGTGCGCGTCTTTTCCGGAGCGCAAAAGTGCAAATATACGACCAGGTATATATAGATTGAATCACTTAAACGAGTATATATAAAAGAGTTTTGTGTGCGTTCTCTAGTAAATTGTCGATGGTGTACCATTGCACCGGTTGCGACAGTACCAATCTACAGCCTCTGGGTATCCTGAAGAAGAACGACAAGAAGAATAATCACCAGGTGAAGTTTGCGCTTCCGACCGGCCCGTTCACGGCTTCCGTCTGTCTCAATTGCAAACATCCGTTGCACGTAAGATCAAAACCTTACACGATTACACGAACAGATTTGTTTGTATCGTTTTTTTTCGCAGATGGGAGGACCGATTTGGTCGGCGCCTCTGCACGACAAAGAGTTCATCAGAAATCTATTAGATGGAGCCTCCGATAAGTTAGGGACGTTCGAACGGATATGGGGTGTTCTGAATGTGATCGGCGAGGAGCTAGAGGATTCCCCATTGTATTACACGTTGGAAAAGTTGGCTGGGACTTTGCACTGCGAGACGCCCCCGCTATTGGCGATAAGGTGGGTGATGTTGTTGCAATTTCTATTCTGTTCTATTGAAATGCGTGTTGTTGTTGTAGGTCTGCAATAATGAATGCAGGATATCGGGTGTCCGCCACGCACATGCACAAGACATCGATAAAGACGGACGCACCGTCGAATGTCGTTTGGGATATAATGAGATGCTGGTGCAAAGATCATCCTGTGAGTGAGAAGAGACAGTTCGAGGGTTCACCTGCCAAGAACATATTGAGCGTCGAGCCGAATATCAAAGCAGATTTCACGATACTGCCGGACGCGAATCCCGCGTCTCGGAAGAACGGTTACCTCAGATTCCAGATGAATCCGCAGACGCATTGGGGCCCAGGCACGCGCGCCACCGCAATGTATGTTTTTGTATATAATTAATAATAATAATAATAAAAACTGTATAATAATTTGTTGTGCGTAGGGTCGGCGAAGAGAAGATCAACAAGAGCAAAAGGAATCAAGGAAAACGGAAACGGGAAGAGTCCGTCGAGTCGACCAAGTAATTTCACAAAACAAAAAAACTGAATCTTAACATTAACAAAAAAAATAAAAAAAAGCGATTAAATTAATTTCATAAAATTGTTTGTTTCTCATTTATCATAGTTGATAAATGTGTTTGTTAATTCATCAATTTCGCGTTAATTTGGATTTAAGAGTGAGGAGATTTGTGTTTGTTGTAAAAATTAACGTTTAATGAACAACATCAACATGATTTCCACGTCCTCGACGACTTTCAAATTAGAAATCTCCTTATCGGATTATCAGCAGGAATGATAAATAAATGTTATTATCCGTGTGATAATTGATGGGAAGACTAAAAATCGGAATGAAGAAACGTGGAACGAAGGAAACGAACACAGATACTGCTGATGATGATAACGGACGGACGTGGAAATATTACTATATAACAACTATAAATATATAAAATGCGATCAAGTATCTTACTGAAATGTAAATGTTGTAAATTGGAAAGTATACGTTATTTGGCATCTTTTGTTTTTCTTCATTTGAGCGATCTAACTTAACTTTAACTAACTTAATTATGGCATGTGTGTGTGTGTGTTTAAAAAAAGAGTTGATATTCTTTGTTGTTGTTGTTTCGATTTCGTGTCGGCTCCGTCGATTCATTAATTGACTAGGATAATAATGAATGGTTGCCGCAAACGCTTAATCGGTTTTGATTCCGTTGTCGGTCATCGTCGTTGTTTTCCGTTCGTTGTCGTCGGCGTCTTTATTTGGACTTCTTACCGCTGCTGTCGGCGAGGTCGTCCTCCTCTTCCTGAGCTTGAGCAGTGCAATTCCGGCGACGTAAAGGAGCACCGAGATGATCAGCCCGATGTGATAGATGGAGTTGTAGTAGTGCATCACCCAGTCGAGGGAGAGCAAATGGAAGGCAATGGATAGGTACGAGAAGAAGAACATCTTGAAGACGACCATGAACCATTCGCACCAGTAAAGCGTCTGCAAAAATGAGAGAGAGAAAGAGGCGAAGTCAGTATGGGGAAATCAGTGAGAAGAGTTGTTCGCTTACTTTGCCGGTTCGTCCCTTGAGGACAAGCTTGACGTAGACATCCTCGATGGGGAGGACGAACGGGGCTCCGCACAAGCAGACGTAGTAGCCGGTGTAGACGCCATGCCAGACGGCTGAAACGAACATCGTGACGAACGTTCTGTACCTTTTACTTGGGAATCTCTTGTAAACATTGACGGCCAACCAATATTGGATGCACATGTTCCAATGCTTCATCGATTCGCGGAACGTCGGACAGAACTCTGCGCCGTACGGATTCACGTTGTGAATAGTCTCGAAGCTGTAGCCAATTTCCTTCTGCTCCTTCTCGGTCCTGCATCACATAATAATTTCGATTACTTTCAATTCCAATTACTATCAACTATCGCTCACATTTCGTCCAGTCGTTTCAGCTCCTTGGAAGGGCCGTGAGCTGGTTTCGGTTCGGCAAATTCCGGATACGCTCCGAAACCGGCGACGGTGCACACGCACTCGGACAGCACCAATCCGATGTACAGCCTCATCCTGAAGGTGAAGAAGTTCGGCCAGATGTACCAGAATCTGTACAGAAGCGATCGCTCCTCGTAGAATTCATCGGTTTTCGCGTACTGTCACAGTACATAAAACGTAACCAATTTTATTGGGAAACAGTTAATCATATATTATGTTGCAACTTACGGATAGGGGCCAGGTCGACGAGGCGGCGAGAAAGAGGATCGCATACAGAGGTATGAATTTGATCTTCTGTAAAGTGATCTGCTTCCAGTCGGCCAGTTTTGCGAATGACGACTTTTCGAAGTAATCCCTGAACGTCTTGTACCGGATGTAGGGACCAGTCAGGACGCCGATGTAATTGAACGAATAGTGGAAGATCTCTTCAATCGTTAACGTATCTTCCTTGATGTCGTCCTCGCCGTTGTTCAGTTCCAGCGCCAACCCGACCATCTTCAACGTGAGCATCATTTGAATCAGGTTCGTGTGATCCGGAGGATACGGAATTCCAAAGTATTCTGTCGTTCGGAAGAAGAGCAGGTAGAGGAAGGAAAACGCGAAACTTATCAGGTGACATTTCCTGCAACAATAAAATAAAATAGAATCTATTGTTGAATAACGTATTCCATAATGTAAGTAATTACCTTTTATCCAGGTGCAGGATGATCAAGGAATTGATGAATACAGTAATGAAGGAATGAACGATGTGAAAGCCTGAGACCATGAACGTGACGAAGAGGCCGACGACTGTTCCCACGAGCTTCTTTGTGCGCTGATCTTCGATCTCCCTGTACACCAGTCCGAAGACGATGGAGGCGAAGAGCAGCACCAGGTACACTATATCTTCCAAGTCCATTGTTTCTCTCTCTCTCTATCTCTTGAGCTATCTTTTCATTAACGGCCACCGTTGATAAACTGCAGGAAAAGAAGACGATCGAATTAGAAATGGCAATTTTAAGTCGGCTTCTTTTTTTTTTTGCTTACAGAATACGTGCGGGTCATCGCTCAGCGTACACGGATCAAAGGTCGACACCCATAAATTTCCGTCTGTAATCGTAATTCTATAATCGCGATAAAATGAGAAACGCTTACATAAATAATAATAATAAATGCAACAAAAGGACACAGCAAATCAACAAGTGCGCCGTTCGAGGTTATTGCGATCGCTGTCAAAGTCAATGGACTGTAGCTCAAATTCACTCGGCGCTTTTGAACTACCCCCAAAGCAACTGAAATTATTAGATAATATAAAAAGTTCGCCGTTTTCTTAATAGAAATAATGTATGCGTAGATTCGACGAGAAAATTAGTTGCTTTTCATTTGCTTTTGGTGAGCGTAAATCGCGTAAATGGTCGAAACTATTTGAACTAATTTAGATCGTGTGAAGTTTGGTTCAAACGATGCAACATAACCTGAATTGAATTGGGTCCAATTCGGTTTTTCTTGAAAAATATTGAATGGAATTCGTATAGAGTAATATGAGTAATTACGTAAAGTATGCCCAACTGACGAAGCTGACGACGGACTACGCGCGTCGCATGGACAGGTTGAGCAAGAGGATCTTTGGGGAGGTGGCTCGACCGACAAACAGCAAATCCATGAAAGTGGTGAAACTGTTCAGTGAGCAGCCGGTGGACAAAAGGCGCGAGGTGCACGCCTACTATCCCAGGCACGTGGAGACTGGCATGTTGATGCTGAAGCTCAGACATTACGGGTTGTACAGAGATGAGCACGCCGATTTCAAGGAGGAAATGGACAGGATGAGGGCTCTCCGAGGAAAGGTGAAGCCGTACAAGGAGAAGAAGAACAAGGGTGATGCTGCAGCAGCTCCAACTGAATAGCAACAAGAGAAAGAAAAAATTAAAAATATTATTTATTATTAAGTAGTAGTAGTGTTTAGTTGTTGTACAAATTACGAAGGAATAAATTTGGCTTATTATAACTCATCTGGTTTACGTTTCCCAGTCTCACCTTTGAGCTTCTCATTCAGGCATCTGGTGTCCTTTCCCTTCAGTGCCCTATCTGCGCACAGGTATTGTTTGAGACTCTGCTTGCCCTGATACTTGAAATACCAATCCTCGATGTCCCCTTCGTTCTGCTCCAGAAGAGTTTCACACTGAAACGAATCATTTGATTCTCATTTTGAATTTGCATGTGAATATGTGGTGAATGTTATACTTGTGTCTTCATGTTTGTGATTTCGACGCTCGGTTTGTCCCACAGTTCGAACGGGATTCCGAGTTCGACTTTGACGCCCTTATCGACTAATCCGTGCAGCGTCTGGAACGTCTGACTCATGCCCTTCGCGAATCTGGTGCTGTCCTCGCGCTCCTTGTGGATGTTGTACTGCAGAATCCGATCGCATACACCTTCCAACGACTCGACCAACCTCAACTCGCTCTTCTGGTATTCGGTTTTCTTCTTTGGTTTGATATCGTCGACAGCGTATCCTGTCTCTAAAACTTCGTGCGTCCGACCAGTTTCCTCGAGTCGCTCCTGCAATTCCGTTGCCAATATCTTGCAAACTACAACATACATACAGACAGAATAGAACAGGATGTGAACTAATAAACCTCAGTGCTTCTAGAATATTCACGATCGCACAACAATATTCCAACTTGTTATCATTATTACCTTCGCATTCGTTCGCGTACTTTACACCCTCGTCCTCCTCGGTCACGCATCGACACGATGCAATCAGGAAGCCTACGAGGAACAATGCATGCAGGAATTTCAGCAACATTTTTTCTTGTTTTCCGGCAGGAACAACAACAAACGACCAGTCCTCACACTCGCTCACACAATGACAATTAATCATTCGTGCCGGTGGTTGCATACATCGAAACGTCAACTTGATGTATCGTCGGTTGCCTATATATATATTTTATATATATAGAGTGATCAATTTAAGCAATTCGATTTGAATTGATTTCCATCTATCCATCCCAGTTTCTACACAAAAAGGAAGACATTTAGTAAAGAAAGAAAACAAAACAAACCAATGCAATTTCTTTTCCTACACGTTTATCCTTTTGTATATTTATTTAATAGATCGATTACACAATAAAAATTCATCAATGTTTCTCCTCTTCGTTTTAGACCATATATAACACGAAATAATTATGCTCGAGGAATAGAGAATAAACTGAATCATCTCTGAATCTTCTACTACTTCTTCTTTCTCCTCCTCCTCCTCCTCTTCTTCTTTTTCTTCATATTGTAGTAAATATACATGAATATATTCAATTTAACAATCAATCAGTCGTCGTCGATACTTCTTCTTTCTTTAATCATCAATAATAGTTAATAGTCACTCAAATAAATATTGTATTCTTTTTTTTAAGTTTGCCTTCTTTTTTTTAATAGTAATAATAATAATATTAATAATAACCTTTTCCTTTTTTTAATCTAGAAATAATAAAACAAACGAAAGAATGGTAAGAGAGAGAGAAAGAGAGGGGAGAAAGTAAATTAAAACAAATAATAATAGTATTCAACAATTTTCCTCTCGCAATTTATCTGTTGTTGTGTTTGCGTGTGTGCTCGCTCGTTTGATTCTCTCTTTTGAAAAATAAAAAAAGATGCGCCGATCACAAGATAATAGAGATTTTCTTAAAAAAACGACAAACTCTTTGCAATGGGTGATCAACGAAAGGAGCTGCGCGCTTTTGATATGTCGGAGATGCATGTTGTTGTTGTTGATATTATTTTAAGAGTGGGCGAATGTTGTTTCCTTCTTTCCTCTCACCCTTCTACTACTCACTCCTTTTGATCTTCGGTCGTGGAGAAGAGGGTATTTTGTGGTGGTGGTGGTTGTTTTTGGTTTTGTCGATTTGAATTCGAAAGCGAAATTATATTGTAGAAACGCGGGTGGCCGGCGACGGTAAAGGTAGTAGAAATTAGGTAAAGTTAAAAGTAAAGTTTAAAAATAAAATCAACATCTATAGGGTGAAATGCCGTCACGAGTTTGTCGTCGCCGACAGCTTTTCCAGTCGATTGCACAGCTCCTGCGCTGCTATCCGATTCGTGGTGGTGGTGGCTGTTGCTGCTGCTGCTGATGTTGTTGTTGCTGCTACTGCAGTTGTAACCTCCTTCTTCTGGTGCTGCTCCTCACGATGCTCCAGGTCTTTGGCGGACTGCTGCTGCTGCTGTTGGTTGGAGGTAGTGGTGGTGGTGGAGCATTCGCCCAGCCATTTGGCTTTGCTGCTGGCGTGCGACTATTGCAAAACAAAAAAGAAGAAAGAGAAACGATGAAAAATCATCATCGAGATATGTGCGCATCATTGTTTGTTTACCATGGAGAGGTCCCGTTTCCATTGAGAGCCGCATGTGCCGTCGCAGCTGGGACAGGGACGGCGCATAGCGTAACCGCCGCACTCCGAGCAGTCCAGAGATACGTGGTCGTCGGCCCAGGAGACGCCGCACGTGAAGCAGCTGGTCATCTGGTCCCTGAGCTGCTCGATGGTCATCACCTGCTCGACCTGCGAACTCCAGCTCGAGACGTCGTCCAAGCTGTGGCTCAGCGTGGTCAGGGAACTGCAAGAAACAACGTGAATGTTTTGTTGTTGTTGTTGTTGTTGTCACAGTCGTCACTTATGTGTGGTTTTCAAAGTCGACAACGTTCGACGTCGATTGAAGGGCGGATCGATTGCGGTGGTGCAGCGACGTACGTCGTCCTTTTAGGTACCTGCTACTACTACTACTGCTGCTACTACTACTAAACAGAGCAGAGACACTCTGACGTACGTACACACACACACAGCACACGCAATCGGTCCTTACTTCACCTCGAAAAGCGTCTATATTCTAAATATCGATATGTTGTTTTTGTTTTTAATAATAATAATAATAAATGTACTCTACCTATGACTGGAATGTAGCTCGACCGGATGCACACTAGCCAATGACATTTTCGCAGGAACTACACGAGTGCGTGCGTGAATGCGTGTGCGAGGCAAAAGAGAACGACAGAGAGATAGAGAGAGAAAAAAAGAGAAAAAACAAACAGATTAGAGGATTGATTGATTGATCAAAATACAACAACAATAATATAATCGAGTGTGTACGAGGGGGAGGAGGGTTGATTGGTTGGTTGTTCGCAAAACAAAAATAATCGCAGCAGATAATATTAATCCTTCCCTTCCCTTTGCACACTACTCAGAATACTTTTCGGTTCTATATACTAGAATAGTGAGTTGGACAAGTGAGGGCAACGGGCGGCGACAAGAGAAACAGAAAACAAAACAAAAATAAACGATTGTTTCCGGTGCACGCGATCGCTACGTGCAATAATAATATATTATCGCGCGGTGTTCGCAACGACGACTACGACGACGGCGACGAGGACCGACTTTCAATGAATAATCGTATATCTCGCACACTCGTACGTACGTGTATTTATATATAATATATCATGTGCAAAATCAAAAATTGATTTTGATCGAAACGCCTACTACAACAACACTATTCGACGCGATGGAACAGGATGAAAGAGAGATGAGAGTAGTACGCACCGCACGTTATTGTTACTGCAGACGACACACCGATACCGATGCTCGAAATCAATGAGGGAAAAAAGTGCAACAAGAGTGCCACTATTATTGTTATTATTATGATTTTATGAGCTGTGGATGATGGGAGGTCGGGTATGCGGGTATGTGGGTCGTGAGACGGCGGCGGCGGCGCTGCTGCGTTTGGTGGATAAGGTGATGGGTGATGGTGGAGGAGAAGAGAGGAGAGGAGGCGGGCGTCGCGACGCAGTTGCAAGCGAGCGCATCGATCGGCGCCGCTGCCACCTCCTCATCCTCTTCCTCCTCCACCACCCCAATCGTCCCGTTACCGTCCCGACGAGGAAGGCACGTGACGCAAATCGCAAGTTGGAAAGAGACCACACTATATTGCAGCGCAGCAGGCATATATATATATACGATGTATTCAATCCCGGCCGACGGCGCCAAGAGTATTTCCACAATTAGATTTCCATATACTTTTATCTCTCTTATCACCACTTACGTGCACTATCTCCTCGTCACGATCTTTTGTGCTCTACCCGTTATGCGGTGATGTGCATTTATATTTATTATTGATATATATATATATATATATATATAAAAATAAATAAAACAAAGAATAGATAGAGCGAGAGAGAGAGAGGAAAGAGAAAGGCGAACGCGAAATTTTGTGCAAGCTCACTTTTCGTGCGAACCGTTTTTCTATGCCTTCTCCCCAACATTAAAAACGCAACGACCTAGAGAAATAAAGAGCGAGCAAGAGAGATGTAGTGTACGTACGTACGTACGTACGTAGGTATGTATGTATTATTAACGAAAAAAAAATAAAGCAAAACCACCGAAACAAATCAACAGCGAACGTCAAAAACACGCGCGTCGTCGTGGTGGTTACGTAAAACATTGCGATTGTTAATTGTTCGTGCGAGGGGGGGGGAAGTAGTTAGTAGGGGAAATATTGCTGTCGCAAACCGACGAAAAATTAACAAAACAAAACAAACAAACACAAATCGCAATGTTCGATTGGTTAGATGGTTGTTTGATTTTGTTTTATTGCAGCGCTTTTTTTGGGAGGGTTAAGCGCACCAACGAACCGAGCGTCGAGATGACGTCGGCGAAACGTCAAACAACTTACATGCAATAATCGAAATCCAAAACGCGCTCCTTCCCTGCTCCTTCCAACAACAACCGACACACTTTTTCCTCTGTGGAGCACTTTTGTATGTATGCTTTGCACACAGGAGGGTGGAACAGAAAACAGGGAGAGTTGCCGCGACTATAGTGAGGGGTGTATAGGTAATGGTGAGAGGGTAGCGAGTGAGCAAACGAACGAACGAACGAACGAGTGTGTCAATATATTGTAGACTTGGGAAAGAGAGAGCGGGCGAATAGCGAACGAACGAGCGAGCGTCGATCAACACTGACTCAATGAATGACTGACTGCGACTGAATTGTTTTTGTTCTGGGCTTTTCTGGCTGCTAGATCCACAAAGAGTGAGTGAGAGAGACGATGATGAAGGGGGTGGGAGGGAATGGTATAGATTGTGCATGTGCGAGAGAGTGAGAAAAGGCACGCCGCGGCCCACTGGATTCGATGTTGCGCGGGCGGCGTCGACGACGTCGTCGTCGTCGTCGTCTTCAATATTCACGCTCGACCGAAATACAAAATCACTTGTTTGTCTTCGCAACGTGACAATTAAAAATACACTATACACACAAACATCAACGAATGCGCTTTGTTTCCAGCAAATTGTAAATATGTAAACAATTTCGGTGAATCAGTGAAGAAGAAAAAGAAGAAAGAAAAAACACTAATCCTAATTTGCAAATTGACCGCTCTATAGGTATGTGTATGTGTGTGAATGCTGCGGGGAATTTCATTTTTTTTTATTTTGCGCATCGTAATGAGATTATAATGTTAATGATAGGAAAGTAACCGAATGTTAATTGCGGTTCGGGGCGAATCCAATGTTCACAATTTTGAAAGTTATAAACAGAAGACGCACGACGAGTGTTCGCGTATTAATTAAAAAGTCGTTAGTAGTCGATGCAAGCAAGCAAGCATTTGACCAACGTCAATGTTTACCGACACAGACAAACAGAAAGGCGTTAAAATGACATTAGAAATACGCATTAGACGACGACATTAAACAAGTAAATGAAATGTTGTAGGAAATTGTAAAAATACACGCCATGCGTTCGTCGTTTCGGCCGTTTGCGCTGAATCTGATATCGTTCCTGTTTGGTGGATTCGATAATCAGCAACAGCAACAGCATCACCACCAGCAGCAGCAGCAGAATGAGCTTCATAGGCAGCAGGATGGGAACGGCGACGAACATCAGCAGCACAAGAGCAAATATTGGGGCGCAAAGTCTGCGGAAGAGGTGATCGTCGAGGCGGATAGGTTGTACGCGCGGGGTCAGTTCCTCGAGGTCTATGAGCTTCTAAATCGGCTCAAGTTCAGCGATAACGCGGAAATCCAATGGAGAATTTCGAGGAGCCTCTTCAAGATGTCGAGGTCGGCGACGGCCGGACCCGAGCAGCGACGCGAGATGATCGAGGAAGCGCACGAATTGTTGCAGCGCACCCTCGCCTTAGGTGATCGATTAACTATTATGATGATGATGATGATTGTGATATACACTACTTTTAATTAGGTAGATGGTCGAATAATGATCGGTGGAAACGTTTATAAATGGTCGGCAATCATCGGCGACGAAAGGGCAGGGTTGATGGGATTGGAGGCGCGCGTCGCCAATTACGCGATCTGCAAGGATCTGCTGCAGAGGGCCGTCGAACTGAACCCGTCCGACTCGACGTCCTACCACCTCCTCGGGCGCTGGTGCTTCGAGATGAGCCGTCTCTCTTGGCTGGAGCGCGCGATTGCTCGCCTCCTCTACGGCCCCATCCCCGTGGTCAGCTACGAGGAGGCCATCCACTACCTGCAAAAGTCTTCGGATTGCGTGCCGAGCGCATACATGCTGGGCGAGATCTGTTTCCGCATGAGGCAATACTACAGAGCCAGATTCTATTTGAACGTCGCGGCGACGCTTCCCGCGCGCACCGACCACGAGAGGAGGTGCGCCGACAAGGCCAGGCACCTGCTCATGCGGCTCGCCGTCTACGACCTCAGCAGAGAAACCGTCCTCTTCGAATACCCTTTCTAACCCCCCAAGACGACGCCGACAACAACAACAACAACAAGCACGTCCCAAGCACTATTTTCCAGCACATTTCGGGGAAATTCACGCGCTCGGGGAATTTCTCCAAGGACGGCCGCATATATTAATTGCTCGCCCGTTGTCGTCGTCGTCGTCGACGTTGTTTAAAAATAGAAAGTCTCCAATTGGTTGTAATTCACGCTTATTTCTGTGTCTGTCTCGCACTCTTCGCCAAACTGATAAACGCGAATCTATATCTACTCGATATTATTTGTTGTTGATGATGTTGTTTGCAAAACTACTTCGATAGTAGCAAGTACGCAGCAAAGTACAGCAAATATTAGTAAAACTGCTAAAAGACGAATGAACGAAGTTGCCTGGGTTCAATAGTCCCTCCCATTCTTGCTGCACATTCTCTGCGTCGCAGACATTCAAACACGAAGGAGAAGATAACACGGAAATGGTAACATTGCTGACACAATACAGCAACACAAGCATCAGATGAAAATCCATATAGCTGTGTAGGTGGCATCATAAGCAATAAGAGCAAGATAAAAACAACTAAAATCGAAATGTTTCGTTGATGAAACCCCCTTCTCACCCTTGGACCTGCACAACAATTGAGTGTTTCGTTTTTCATAGATAATACGATACGGATGAATATAATTTAAGGTCATAACTGTAAATGAAAGTGAATTCCGATCATAGTAAAACGCGAACAAAAATTCACCGAACAGATTAGATTGCAAAACTTAAGAAAAAAAAATCATATAATAATTGGTTGTTTTCGTCTTTATTTAATCACAGAACAAACGTTTGGACCGCGAGTCCACATCGATATAATCGATAAAGAACGTGAACCTGAAACCGTGATCTATTCTATTGGATTCAACAACATCAACAACAACTAGAACAACAAAAATCCCAACCGCCAAGAGCAAAGACAATTAAGAACAGCAATTCGGAAAGACGCGTAAACACAATTAAGCGCGCTTCCGCCAACAGCAAATGAAAATATAATTGCAAAATGCGCTCACAGATTTTGCAACAATATTATTATTGCTGTTGTAGTCGTCGTCGGTAAACCGAAACGTTTCAAAATACAACAAAATCATCGCCTTGATAGATGAATGGAAAGAGGTGAGAGGGGAGGGAGATGATATCAACGATGATCGTCGGGTTTTTCGGAATCGTCAAATCATCGCAATTGCGCGACAAGTATTAAGTGTGTTATGTCGGAATTTCTAAGTAATACAAAAATATAATTCAAATATGATAGCACCAAACAAACACATCCGGGATTCGATGGTTGCATACGGAAAAGTGAACGTAACACATTCACCGATTACAATGCGAGACGTTAATTAACGCAAAGTCCCATAAAATCTATGTACAATAGTTGTTATTTTGGGAGAATCTATTTTCGAAGCTGGAAATTAACACCGTATTCACAACTATTCAATTTGTCAGCGGAAATGCCGAGTCAATTTGAAATTTGAATTAAAAGTAGCAAAACTGCACCGACACAATGAATTAAAGTACAAATAGATGCGAACAATTTTACGACTGTTGCGTAATGCGAGCGTATTCAATTAGAAATAAATTGTATTAGGTGTTGCCTAATCAATTGCCCGTGCAAATTACTCAATAAAAAGCACATTGCTACTGCTTCTGATTAGCAAACACTCATTGCAAGCAAATATAACATTTCGCGAAATATAAATGATACCGAGAAGCGCAAATAGAGACTGTTGCTATCTAATACGAAACATTTTAAAATAATTAAAGATTACGGTAGGAGAGAGAGAGAGAGAGAAAAAAGTAACACATCTTTAACAACGACCACGTAAGACGTAGAAATATGTTTTTGGTATAGTCACGGCTGTTTCGCTATGCCAATTTTCGAGTAAACCAAATTCCGCGTATCGAAATGAATAATAGAATATAATATAGGCAGACGCGAAACAAGCGACAAATGCAATTGCACAACGACGCACACTGTCTGTATCGATGTATTACGTAACAGGTAGCAGATAGAATGCGGAAAGGGAGGAGAAGGAGTTGTATGCAGCATGTAATCTAGCAAGCGCGGCGACGACAACTGCGATCACGATGATGCTGATTTGTAATGAATTATTGCAATTGTATGCAACAAACAATACAATTAAAAAAAAATGTGTATCATAATACCGACGAGTGCGAAAGGCGTGACGCAGTTACACAACGCCCAGAGATTATTATTATTATTATATTCGATGCAACAAACGTCGTTGCACGATCCCCATCCGTTCACATAATACGAAAAACAAACAAACAAAATCCGAATAACAGCTGACTACTACTGCTGCTGCAACCGTTTATGTGTAACGCGGTGCGACGCGTCTTGCTCCTCCACCTCGCTGGTTTCAATTTACAAAACACGATTTATTTGTTTTCTTTTCCTCGATGAAAACATAACAATAATAATTGATAAAGTAATTAATTAATTAAACGCAAGAAGATAAACGAAGAAGATATCAATTGGAATGAATGCGCAATTTTCGCATTTTTCGAATATTAATAATAATAAAAAAAAAACAAAAACTTAGCACTAAAATTCTGCGATTTGCATGGCAACACATAAAATATATTAAAGCGTGAACTCGAGTGAATGAATCCAAAAGTGGTGAACGACATTCATTACCTTTCAATACGAATCAGAGACCACCTGCCTGCTCATCATTCGTGGAGCGTCGAACGAGCAGGTGGTTTTACTGTTCAATCGACAAACGAGAACAACGAAGACAGAATGAAGAGATGGTGGGTATGTTAAATGGTAATGATGTGATCGGTCAACGAGACAGACACGGGAGATCCCGTTGAAGACGATTCTGCATGCTTCGGTGCGTCGCGCGTACATGGGTGAATTATATCAATGCTCAAGTAGGACATGCATGCATGTCGACACGCCGAACACGTTCATTGATAGAGCGGAATAACAATAAAAAGAGAGACGCTAGTCGCTCGCGAGAAGAGATAAGAAAAGAAGAGGGTTCCAGTGTGGTGTGTTGTTGGGAGCAGGAGGAGGAGACGAAATCCGATATACATCTATATAATATAACATTCCGGCTGGCTTTCGAACGCGATGAGACGTCGTCGTCGTGGACGCCGCCGCCCGTGGACTATTTTAATTGCATGTGCATATAACATGCGTGCGTGGTATATCCGATGACAACTGCGTTTCGATTATTTGCAGTTGGATCGTCGCTAATGGGTTGGGCCATGTTGGGCTGCGAAAACTGGTGATCCACCGTTAATTGCCTTGTTTTCTTGTTTCTCTTGCGCCGCGTGCGTGTCTTTTGTCTGCCGCTAAGCAACAGCAGCAACATTGGTTGTTCGGTAGGTATGTAGGACCGGGTGGAAGACGAACCTGCTATGATGAAGGGCACCGAGATGGTCGGCACGTGATGATGATGGTGGTGGTGGATGTGATGATGATGGTCATCGCCAAAGTCCGGATCGTCGTCGTCGAAGTGGATGTCCTCCTCGAACTCGGTGAAACCGTGGATGCTATTCCCACTCTCCACACGCAGCATCTGCACAAAACACGCACGGACGCGATTAGCGGATCATCATAAGAATTAGCATCGCCATAGTAACAATAAACAAATAAGTAAACAAAAACAAGAATGCTTAAGCGGCTCTCGTTTCTGGTGTTTAAACCCCAAAGTAGTCTGCGCCCGTGCAACAACAACAACAGGCAGGCTGACTACCAATACCGAGAAGGTTAAGCGACTTTGATCTTTGGCGATCAAAAGTGACTTAAATCGCGACGCACTGTCGCTGTCGTTACTTTCTATTGCAGTCTTTTTTTGTTTGTTTGTTTGTTCCTTACGTTTATTTCCTTTCTATTCAATTCCGACGATGCGAGATGACATCCAGGTGGACGGTGTTGTTAGAAGCGGCTGTTACTAGAAGAGACGCCTCGCCTTCTGTTCCTCTTTTTCGATGACCCAAGAAGAAGAAAAAGTGAGGAACGGAATTGCTCGATCTCTGTCTGCCTTCTGTTCGTTCCGCTATGGCTCATTCACTCACTCGCTCGCTCGCTCACTCCGAGTCGGAGAGTGCTAAGAATGGGCAAAGCACGACGACGTGGGGGCCAAAGAACCATCGACTAACTACTGCTGCTCTGCTGCTGCTGCTGACTGACTTGGTTGTGCTTGGTTGGTCTGAACTGGAATTAAAAATATTCAACTGCTGATGCCTCGCTCACTCACTCACTCATTCTCTTTCACACTCGTTCATTCAAAGGCCCGCCGAGATCGCACGAGGTCTCTGCCGAACAGGCGCCACCTCTCGTCCAATCTCAGAGTGCAATTTCAAAAAAATAAAAACTTGAGAATTTTTGTTTTCAAGTCCGCTCGCGCAAAAAGACATATTTATATATATGTGTGTGTATGTATACAATATTCGTATTTAGCGGCAGTAAATAGAAATTGCATTATTCTCAGTGCTCTTCATCGCCATCAGCGTGCTCATGTTCGTCCTCGTATCCGTCGGGGAGGGCGTTCGTGTGCGGATTGTGGAACAGGGATTTGTTGCCTTCGCCCCAGGGGAACCTCTTGGTGCGCCGCCTGAGGAACTCGTACGGCACGAACGGCATCCTCTCCTTGGGTTCCTCCGAGTGCGCATGCATCACTGCCCTACCCGTCAGCAAAAGTATCACCGGAAGGGATACCGCGAAGAACACGTTCCTAAACACCAGGCCTTTACCCTCTGCAACCAAAGAACAAAATCAATCAATCACAATCGATAGAATCGATTCAATGCAAATTTTGCTTACGATGAGCACCGCGTCCCTTCTTCGCCCATCTCGTCGCCGTCGTCGTAAACGTTCGATGATTCAGCATCGTACGCGAAATATATATATATAAATATATGTATATATATATAAAAAATATATAAAATGAAATAAGTTCAAAAATCTAAACTTTCAAACAAAAATGGAAACTTCAAAAGTCAACCAAAGCGACTAGGATCATTCATCCTAGTTTCCAATAGTAACGCAATTAACATGGGCGACAATTGCAATTGTTATTTAATTATCGAAATAGGCATATTTTACGTGAAGTTTATTAAATTCAAGTTGAAACCCATTGGAATGTGAAAATATATATATGGGGAAATTCGCTCACCGCAATCAGTGAAAATCCAGTTGTTTTAATTTTCCATTTCGTTGCAACAGCAACACATCAGCAAAAGGAAAAACCAAACCGATCCACACAACTTTCGAACAACTTTAAACAGACGCGCTGCACGAGCCTCGTCCTCGCTGACGCGCGGTTAGCCTCGCACCCTGATACCAACCACACACAATTAACTGTAACATAGGCAACCAATCGTACTTTTAATTAATTATCTATTAATTGATGAATTTATCGCACTAAAATGTGTTTGTGTGTAATTACAATACTCACTTGATGTTGATCGGTTGATTTTTTTCTAATTGGATTTTTCTTCGTGCAGTTTTCAGAACTGGATCGAAGGTATCGACGCGTCTGCGCCATCGAATATCTTGCGTAATTTATGTCAAGTGTGCTGCTGTCTGATTATATATTGTTTGTCAGTTGGAATCAATTGAAGATGGCTGCTGTTCTGAACCATTGTGCACGTCGTTATTTGTCGACCACCGCGGTCCGTCAGGCCGTCCAGGTGCAAGGCCCATCCGCCGTCTCCGGCCTCCACGAAGGTAAGATGATCGTAGCAGGAGGTGTATGATGATGATGAGGTTAATCTATATGTTGATGGACGGGATATAGATGTGTTATTATATAACATTTGGATCGATCGAGTAATAATCGTAATACCTTGTGTCGTTCTCGTTTTGCCCCCAGGTGGATACAAGCTGTGGAAGAATGTGAGCTTGTTCGTCGCCGCTCCAGCGATCGTCCTCTGCGGCGTCAACTGCTACCTGAGCCACACTCAGCACCACCACGAGAGGCCAGAGTTCGTCAAGTACGAGTACCTCCGTAGGCGCACCAAGAGGTTCCCATGGGGTGAAGGCAACAAATCCCTCTTCCACAACCCACACGCCAACGCCCTCCCCGACGGTTACGAAGAATAACTTCTTTTGCACAACATATTAGTTACAATTCAATAGAAAAGAGAGAGAGAAGAGTTAATGTGTATGTGTAATCATCATCAGAGGAATAACAAAATAAAGTTGATTAGTTAATTATTTGCGTGTTCAATTATTTACACATATTCGTATAAAATATTCATATATATATAACTTAAATAATAATAATAGTAGTAACAGTAGTGTTGGAGATTATCTCAGAGGTTCTCCAATAATGTGAATAGATGGTACAGAGAGAAGCAGATGCCACCGAGCAATATAAAAATCTGCATGTACTTCATCTCCGTGAAATAGAGAATCATATCCATATTTGGAATATGTGATTCTCTCAAGAGGGTGGGTGTATAAATGTATGGTTGGCTACTAAGCATTGACAGCGAGCTTGTCCAGGTTCTTCTTGACGACGTGAATGCGCCGATTCGAGAGGCAAATAATGTAGCAGTGATTCTCATATGTGAGACTGATCTTCTTGAAGCTCTCGTCAGATCCGAAGGCCTTCTGATCCACCATCGAGGTGATGTTCACCAGGCCCATAATAGTCTCTGCAGTCTTCTCGTCGTTCTCCAGGTCCCCGGCGGACGACACGACAGCACCCTCTTCGTTCAGAATCAGATAACCAGTTTGTCCGGCGATGCGATCCATATTGTATCAGCAAAACGAAAGAGTTTATCTGCAAAATTGGAAACGAAAAGAAAAAGAAATACATTAGTTTTCATCGTATCGTATCACGTAAATGAACGTACCTCGTCGTACCACCTTTTAATCGAACATCTCACAATCAACTACGTACAATCGAGATGACTCCACAACGCCCCACAAATAACAACAAATTAATGCAAAAACGAAAACAACAAATAACAAAGACGATTAGGAAAATCAATTGACAAGTGGAATTTTTTTTTTGTTCCCGAATTACCACCACAACAACAACAAACAGTTCTCATCGCAATTACGTTAGGCCACCCAATATACACTATCATCGCGGCATTCCGAATTTAAAGAGAGACATGTACCTTTTATTCAATATTAAAAAATATCTGGAAGTCCGTACGGGAGCTCCGACCTGGGCAGGATGTTCGAATATTTGAAGCAGGTCTTGGCGAGGTGGAAGCGCACCGGTATCTTGCAAAGTTCGAAAAAAAAAAGAAAATTTGCGCAACGTTCAAATAATATAAATAAGCTCGAACCTCGGCCAATCGATTGAAGCTAACGATTCTGTCGCCAAAGAAGAGCACTCGTTTGAACGGCTTAACCTCGACATCGCTGCACATCTTCTCCAGCGACAACGAGAGCTGATCCCCCTCGAAGTTCAGATCGAAGCTGTGCTTGCTCAGAAAATCCTCCGTCTTCGTGTTGCCGAGCAACTGCTGCTCCTGATCCAGGATGCACACTTCGCTGCTCTTCTTCGACAGATCTATGAACTTTTCGTATCGCCGCGCATTTTTCGCAGCGCACACCCTCCTAACAACTAAATCGCAATCGTTAATACACACACACACAAATAAAGCATTTGAAAAATAAATCAAAGAGTCAATTACATCTACAGATAACAGCTGCAGCATTCTTGCGTCTCCGGTGATAACGCCGCCAAGCCAACTGGATCTTCCTGATCAGCATTGAAGATCTGATGCGTCGCAGCACCACGAATTTCGCGTACGCTCCGTCCGTCATGTAAACGAACTTCTTGCCCAGATGCATCTCCTTCTTCAGACTCTTTAAATATATGCGATTCATCAATCGATTTAAGATTAATACACTTCCAGTAACATACGTCTTTCAATGAATTGTAAAGATTCGCGGAGAATTTCTCGATGAAATGCTCGAAAGGCAATCTGAAAAACATGACGACAATGATCGAGAGTTGGGGGAAGGAGTATTTACCGCAAGGAAAACTGCTGGAAGTTCAATTTGAATATCTCGCAGACTCCGTTCGCGACCAACTGCTGCTCGAAGAAGTGCTCGTCGAAGAACTCTGCCATATGGTAGGGATTCGGTTTCAGGCATTTTACGTAGTGCACATCGCCGTCGTTCAGTACATCAAACAAGTTATCCAACGACTTCTGTGGTGAATCCAGAATAACCATTTTGTATCAGATGCATATCGGGAGAAGAGGTAATTGTTACCTTGAAATTGGTAACCAACGTTTTGCCATTGGTGAGCGGAGCGAACGACATCAGGTGACACAGGAATTCGAAGGATTCGCATCCTTTCAAGAAACTGATAATATCGTCTGGTACCTGTAACAATAATGTTCGAAAATGATCGATTGAATGGATTTAGATTGATTGAAACCTTGTCTCGATTTTTCCCCAACATCGATCTCGTGTCGTACTTTACCACTCCGGCGTAGTGCTTTATGGAGAAGGCGGTGTGCAGCTGGTTAAGTGATCCAATGAAATGTGGCTTGCTCCTCAGGGTCTCGGTCAATCGCGTATTAACGAACACGTCCGAGTTGAACCGTTTCATCGCGCATTCCTGCTGTACACAAGACGACACAAGATATTTAATATGAAATACCATAGATTTTAGATAGATGCAAATAACCTCGTTCAGAATTCCGAAGATGGAGATGGGCCCGTGGATCAGCGACAGTCGCTGCGTGTATTCCACGGTTTCGATATGTTCCACATCGAATCCTTCCTCTATCAACCTTATCCTGCGCTCCAAGAGGTAATTGTCGATGAAGTACTGCTGCAGTCGTTCGTTCGCGTAGTTGATGCACAGCTGTTCGAAACCGTTGTGATCGAACACTTCGAAGCCGTAAATGTCGAGAATGCTCAGGCTCTTCTGATCGTAAACGCAGCTCTGCTCGAATTTGACGTTGATGCAATGGACCAACCAGGAGAAGAGCCTGTCGTAGAGTAGTTTCATGATGCAGTCCCTTCGCTCCTCGCATTCCTCGCGATTCATGCAAGCGCTTTGGTAAATCGTCTCTCTTCGCGATTTCGGTGCAAACACTCTCGTGCAAATCAGATTGATTAAATCCTTCGGCTTTGCGTCCAATAATCGTCCGACGTTTTCCACAAATTCCAGGGAATCTACAAGAAAAGAAAATAAAAAATAATTTGTAATTTAATTAAAGTGTCAAAACGATATACCTGTAGACACTGTGTAGATGTCTCCCACCGACTCAAACTTAACGTTCCCCAAGTTCAAAATGATCGCAAGCACAGAGAGGATATCTTCCAGCGCGTAAATCTCGAGGGCTTCGAGTGCAATCAGCGTCTCCCTATACCTGGGCTTCATCTCAGAATGTGGAGCTATCTTGTAATCTATCGTTTTGCTCAGATACAGTAGCTGCAAAGCGTCCTCCTCCAGCACATCGAGGATCTGTCGAAAGATGTGAAAGTTGCCTTCTCCGGTCGCAGGTCCCGTCACCCTCGATTTCTCCAACATGAAAATGCTCAAGGTGCACCCGTCGATGGACATACCGTCGACGCAATGGATCTGCACCAGCTTACCAAATCTGGAGCTGTTGCAGTTGTATCCAGTCTTGGCGTTGCCGAAGGCAGAGAGCAATGGGACCGTCGACCAAATCCCGTAGAGCGCTCGATTCGTTTCGCCGACGATGTCGACGATACGCTGCATCGCCAAGCAGGCAGAATGCGTCTTTCCCGAACCGCTCTCTCCGGAAATCACCACGTGCTGATGCGGCTTTCCGACGCCGTGCTTCAACCGGAACCAGGCACCGGAGATCAAGGAATCGACGCCTGGATGATCGTCGCCTTTGCACTTCTAGAAAAGTCGCCAAAATTATAAAATCATCATCAATCTAGGAGAGGGAAATGCGTGCTCATCTTGCCTTTTCCCTGGCCTCGTACGGATGCAACGATAAAAGTGTCTGTCCGGCCCACGTGTAGAACTCTTTGCTTAAGAATCTTTTACGCATGAAGGCAATTACTGAAAAATAAACTTGTTTACAAGTCATCAAGTTTCATATAAGTATGTAATTACCCTTATCTGAACTCCTGTTGGGCAGATCAACAATGTTGTCGATGCCATCAAACTCCTCCGGTTCCACGCTCAAAATGCAAGAGCTCGTTTGAGACATGCACTCAATGTTTTGCTTCAATTAAATTAAACATTACATTACAGCGTAATAGAAATGATAGCGTGAGAGTGAAGATACGCACCAACGAATTTATCCTCCCCAGGCATGGCGTGGATACAATCCGAGTCACCGTCGTCTTCGAATCCATCCGACAGAATTAACTCTACGACAAAACAAATAGACAGTTGCTATGGACAGTTGTTTATGAATTTCAATGAATTCTATTTGAGAACGTACGAAAAAAAAATCGATAATTTTAAATTCGAAACTGTATACAATGCTGCCAATATAGTGCATTAGGCAACACATCTATCACGAATCAAGTCTATTAAAATGATTATGATTTGGTAATAACGAAGGGAATGAGAAATGAGAAAATTAGTAGAATTGATTTATTTATGAAAACTCACCGATTCTTACAGAGTCTTAATCATCTGCAAAATCCTCACCAGACGTTCGTCCACCTCTTTACCGCTCAATTTAAACTCGAGACTTTCAAAGTCCACCCGCTCGATCTAAATCGATACAATTTATATGTGTGTCTAATGTAAATTTGATATCTCTCACCTCGTGGCAGGGATCCGATTTCCTGTCCGGTAATTCCGAATACAATTTTCTCGCTAGAATTCTCTCAGCGAGGCCGCAGATGCCGCTGAACGTCCTAAAATCGTAGCATTCCTCCACGTCCCAACCTACCAAATCTTTGAAGAAGACGCCGTGCTCTTCGCCGAGCTTCTGTCCCATCACAGCTCCAAGCGCGTCCACCAACTGCGACCCGGATATCTTCCTCATCGTCTGCGTTTCGCACTCCTTCTCCTCGTCCTCTTCCTCCACAACTTCTGTTTTGAATATGTTGAAAACAAAGTTGTAAAGCATCTTCCTGGTGCTAGTTATAACTACGTTATGCTGCACATACTTGATCGGCGTCATGGCTACAGGAAAGAAACTGCAATAGTTAAACACTGTAAAAATTATAAATAAATACGTACCAGTCATCGTCCTGCTGTCCATGGGGAGTTCAAATCGAACGCTCGACCTGGTGAACATTCGTGGCAGAGTGAGCCAGAATTGTGCATCGATTTTAGGCATTTTCAGGTTGGCCTGAAGCGCCAGCAACTCGTCGCAATCCACTCTGATTTTGGGTACAGTCTTCAGAGCCTCCTCCAACGCTAATCGTCTCTGTGAACGAAAACCTCAATTTTAATTTAAAGTGAAGAAAGAAATGAGGATCATATTACTTCCAGATTAAACTCGTTCTCGACGATTTCCAGAGTCAGTTCCCTCCTGAGCTGCTTAAGAACGTCGTAATCCAAATAAGAGTCGACGTCCAGAGGACCAAATTTTAAAGAGGCAGCAATCTTGGTGATATCCGCATTAGTTTCCGGATTGGTCGCAACCAACGAATGCCTCGCGCTGGTGTTCAGCGAATCCGGACCGATCGTTGCTACCTGATATTATAATTATACATTACATAGATTAATTGTTGCTACGGTTCGTGTGTTATATATTGACCAAAGTTTCCGGGTCTAGAGGGACCTGGAAGATCGATGGAACTCGAGATGCGTTCCTTCCTCTGCGCTTCCTCCTCTTCCCACGTCTCTTCAACGTATGTTCCTCCTCTTCTTTATCATCATCATCATCGTCGTCATCATCTTCGCTCCTCGTAACTTTGGGTGGTTCCAAATGAGATTTCGTCGCTTCGGGTTTTTCCTTCGGTGCTGGTGGCTGTTTCCTGTTCCTCGCCGACGAAGGACTCGGCAGCTTGGCGGTGCCGAATTGCATGATCTTCATCAGAGGGGGATGATCGACCGGCTGAGAACTGCCATACCAAGAAAGCGTTTCCTGCAACAATTTCAAATATCAAATGTATGGAATCAACGATTTAAACGAATCCAACTTGACTGTGACTGCGTCTCAGATCCAACACCAGCATAGTCTTCTCCCTGACTTCGGACGTGCGGAACGGTTCCGGTGTAACGCATCTCCTCGTCGCCGAAGCCCTGGTATGAACGCTGATCATCGTCGGGGCCGGAGTCAGTGGCCTCGAGTCGGTCTCGGTGTACCTTGCAAACGGAAACTTGTAATTCGCAATGATCACAATCACAGAATTAACGCAACAATTACTTTCTGAACAGCTCCTCTGGTACGCTATCTATATCCTGAGATTGAAAGTTCAATTCATATTCAGCCTTGATTGCTGCCACCTCTTCAGGATGCAAAACCAATTTTCCTTCGTTACCCTAAAAAACTACAGTTAATGTAACCTTGCATTTGCAATTGCATTTCTTACAAGATTCTCCTTCGCCTTCTGGATCATCTTCCTTGCATGGAAATCAGCCGGATGATTGCACAGCAATGAACATCCATTCGAGTATGGATTGTACAGTCCAGTAAATGGTTTCAGGATGCAGGGGGCTGGACCGGTGATAACCTTCAAGTGAACTGGGGCTCTCTATGTGGAAACAATGAAGAAAACTTAATAGACAATCGGAGATTGGAAATGGACTCACTGCTGCAGGTCTGATGAATTTCTTGGTGGGACTCGCCAGGAGCCCCGTTCTGGTCGTCATCCCTTATCTTAACGTTTTCGTTACTTCAATTCAACTAAAACGAATTGATTAAATGTGCGGAATCGGTAAGGAGTCATCAAGCGAAGAATAACAATTATGTTGCTATGGTGATAATACATATTGTTTTGGAAGTTACAAGCGAATGACAACAAACAACTTTTGAATATAACGTGCCGTGCCGTGGTTTCCACACGAGCAGGCAACCCATTCGACATAAACGAATTTATTGCGAGCGCGCACGACTTGTTGCCTAGACCATACATTTTAAATTTGAATTTAGCGAGTGGAGAAAATATAGTTTAAATTAGATAATTAAATTAACATGGTAAAATATGGAATGTATATACGAATGTATAATCTAAAAATCACTTTAATATGCAATATATATATATACAACATCGACAGCTAAATAACATAAGAATATTGTTTTTGTGTTTTGTTTTGTATGCTTTCCTTTGTTTACATTTTTGTTTCGGTTTCCATGGTTTTGAGGGAGGATGAATGGAGAGATGGATGGATGGGGAAATAGTGACACGAGGGGCAGTAGGGAGGTAAGGGTAGGAAGGAAGGAAGGATCGACCTATTTTATATAAAATACAGTTTACAAATTGATTATACAAAGAGACTACAAGTTCTATTACAGAAATTACAAAAAAAAAGGTTCGGGGATATTTATTTTTTTATCTATACATATATAGTTGTATATAAAACCACGTAGTTGGCTGGTACGTGGAAACAGAATTCGTCAACAGAAACAAAATCCGTCTTCGCAGTTACTTGTTTTTATAAATAAATGTTGTTTGTTGCGGCATCTATTATCATTATTACTCGCTGAAACAAAATGATAAGAACAAAACAAAAAAGAAACGAAACCAAACGAAATAACGTAAGAAATATAGATGATCGCCGAAGGAGGCGACGATTCATTAAAGAAGTGAAGAAAGAAACATAAAAAGACGAAATCAAATAAATATTTATAATAGTTATATAATATATATATACGCTTCTCTCCTTACATAAAAAATAAATTAATAATAGTAAATAGTAATAATAATAACAATTGAAACTTCCTATATGTATATATTTTTATATATATTTATGTATGTATGTATAATATACCTTCAATACTGATTATTTGTCATATTTATGCAAGAGATGTAAATCTCTTGCATATTTTTTCATTTTCTTTTTTCCCTCGCTTCTTCCTTATTAATTTCAATAATAATAATGAAAATAAAAAAAGAAATCGCGTTCATTCGACACGCAATCGAGGGTGGCGCGAACAAACAAACAAACGAATAACAAGTGAAAACCAAATTTCTTTCGTCCCACCATCTATCTCTCATAATATTAAAAAATGCATTGTGTTGATTGTACAATTAGAATCGGATAAAAACGAGTTTCCCCTTTTTGTTCTTATAACGACGCCTACCATTAAAACAAAAAACAAATTTGCACTGAAAGGAAACAAAAGACAAACTTGCATCTTTCTCTCTCTCTTTCTTTCGCTCCGCACACTATTTTTATTTTTGTATATATATATTGCTGTGGAGGTGGTGAATCGGAATCATCCATCCACCCGCCCCCCTCTTTCATATTCATATCGCTCTACCTCTTGTCGTTACATCTATCTAAACACCGAAAAACAAAACAACATAAGAAACTAGGTAAATTGATTGTTCTTCCTTATTTTCATATATATATATTATATATATATCTTCCGCTGCCGCCATCGTCGTCAAGGTAACGCCAAGATAATAGTGGGTGGAAACATAAAATTAAAGAAAAAAAAACACGATCGGACGGCGGAAGTTTAATTGCAAATCTAGTTGTGTAGGTAGTATCAAAAGAAATAACAAAAATAAAAATTAAGAAAAAAAAAACACAAACGTTTTTCTTTCTCGTCATCCTACATGATCATTATTAATTATTAATTATATAGTTTTCGCATCAGTTTCCGCAATTTCTATTTCTCTCTTAATTATTTAAATGTATTTATTAGATTATTATTATTATTAGATTTTAAATTAGATTTTGTTTGTTTGTGTTTCATCGCAGGCTGCGATTATTATTCCATGCTTCTGAACACATTCTCAATTTTAGAATATATTATCAATGTATGATATAATCATAGTCGTCGTCGAACGCGCTTCTTTTTTTTTCTAATATTTAATATGTATAGTTTATGTATATATATATAGGTATGTTATGCATGATTATTATATAGTAAAGTTGGCAAGATTCGTTTTGCTCGAACATACTGTGTGTATCCATGGTTACACGCTTAAGCAGCAACCACGATTCAATTGAAAAATATTTACATTGACTGATGGAACTTTCTTCTTTTTTTTTTAAATATATATATGTGTGGGTTTTTGGATGCGAAAAGGCCATCATTGTTGCTTTGTTCTATTAATTAATTGGCGTTAAATCTTCTTGATACAAATCGAATTCAACCACATAAACCCCCATCCCCTGCCCCTGCCCTTTAAATGTATAGTGTAGCTATCTTTAATAATATTTCGCGGTTATTTACAGTGCGCGTAATAATAATAACAATAAAAATGTGTATGTACGTAGCGATGGGATGGGGGTGGGAGGGGATAAGCGTGTTTGGGCTCGAGAGGGCGGGGCCAGAGCGGGTGCACGCTGCTCTCGGATTGGACAGGGGGGTTGGGTTACGACTGTGGTCGGCCTACTTAGATGTTATAGGATAATAATAATAATAATGTATTATAGGGATTTATACATTGCTCGCGGGTGTAAAGTCACTTTGCATGTGTATAAATCTGTTGCACTCGTCGCACGTCTAATTTAATCTTAATTGTATTTAGAGTTTTATCTACTACGCTTAGTCGCTAACCAATAACATATTTATATATCCACGTTCAAATTTGGTGTTTTACCAGTGAGGACGGGTGGTGCGGGGACCTCCCGTCCGGGGAAAATAGAGACGGACAGATTGCCAACTGAAGAGGTACAAAAAAAGAGATAGGTTGGAGAGATAGAAAAAACAAATAGAGAACAATTGTTGTGGGTGCTGCTGCTGCTGCGTGTCTTCGGTTGGCAACTTCCGGAAAACGATAATCAAAAATAGTATTAAACGAAAATAGTTTTTTCTTCTTCTATCCTTACAGATAGAGTTAATATATATATATAAATTTGTATATATATATCTAGAAGTTGTTATGTAATGTATATAATGTAGTATATAGTGTGGTCACTATATTTTTTATATAGTTTTCGCTTTTCTATTACTAAATAGTGTTTGCAGTAGTAGTAGTAGTAGTAGTAAGTAATAATTTAATTTAATATTTACAGAGAGGAGTGGTTGAAGGGGTAGTGGTGGTGGTGGTGGTTGGGTGGTATGCTTAGATATATAACATATATATATAGTACACGAGTCTGCAGCGCTGACTATTAAAAAAATATATATGTTTGTGTGTGTGTATATATATATATATGTATAGTATATAAAAAGAAACAAATACCTAACAACGCACGCTCTCTCGATTCTCTTGGTACAATGTTCTAGCGAAGAAAGATCTACTTACTAGAAGGATAAAACATCGTCCGTCTTTCTACATTCAACCTAGCGCTACTCTTTTCTCTCTTGTGTTTGTTTTCCTCTGTTAAAACTAGCAACGTACACGCGCGCGCACACATACACACACATCTGTGTTTCCATGCGGGATTAATTAACTTAAAGGAAAGATCACCTTCGTATCCATTTACGCGTTACGTTTCTCTTTTGTGAGCACCACTCACTCTCTCTCTCTCATCTGTACACTATAATGTATCTCTTGCACACTCTGACGCGTGTTGTCGTTAATTGCCGTTGGTATTGCGATGGGTGGTGATGATTGCGTTCTTGTTGTTCGAATCTGTACCGTAGATTTTACCCGCCTTCTTTGCCATCGAACCTAGTAGCTCGAGGCTCTGCTTGTGCGCCGACTTGAGGCTGGTGAGCCACTCCTTCAGGCCGATCTCGTCCTGAAACACATATATTTGTAATCGATTCGATTGTTGATGATGTTGGTGGTATATGCTTACGGGATTGGTGAGGACGATCTTGCCGTCTCGCAGCCTGATGATGATGCACTGCTCGTTCTTGACCTGCACCAGGTCGCCGCTGACCTCTTCGATCTGATCCATGAAGATCATCTCCGGCTTCGCAGAATCCGGATGAAGTTCGAGCCGATTGGGGTAGAGCTTCGCGTACTTCATCTGCCAGCTGGACGTCCACGGACCGCCGAGCTTCTTGATGTAGCCGTGCAGGATGCAGTCGGACTCCTTCTCGTCCAGATCGAACTTGTACTTGTGCTTGGCTTTGCGCTTGTGCTCCGCCTTGTCAGCTTCAAAGTTGATCGTCTCGAAGACGGTCTCCGCCACCTCGTTTTGCCACCGCTCGGAGATGACCAGCGGGAAGTTCTTGTAGAGGTCCTGATCGGCGTCGGTCAACTGAAAGCGAAAAATGGTCGTTTGCGCTCATTGCAATAGTGATTAATGCGTGCGTTCAATCTCACTTTGATGCCTTTGGTGTCCTCCTCGTCGAACGAGCCGATATCGAAGGCGTCCGCGGCGTTGACCTCACCGCGCGGTGGGATCAGCGGAGGCGTGTACTTCTGCAGGTAGACCTGCTGCCAGTCGATGCCGGCGAAGAACGGATGCTCCTTGACCTCTTCTGCTCCGTTCCCGCGGCATCCAAGCCGTTTGTCGACGTCCCTCTGCAAGAGACCCTCGAGCAACGATTTGAGCTCCTTGCTGAAGGAGTCAGGTAGCTCGACGTTCATCGTGAGCGTCATGCGATCGATCTCGTGCTTGTCTTTGGTCTTGTGCTGCCGGAAGGGCGAGTGACCCTTGAGCAGCTTGTACAGCATGCATCCGAAGCTGAACCAGTCGGCGCTCGAATCGTAAGCGGTACCCTTGGAGAGGACCTCCGGTGCCATGTAACCGTGCGTGCCGCTGCAAACAGTCGATCACATCAATTTCGAATAATCGTGCACAACACAAGCATACTCACACGCTGGCGTGGGGTTTCTTCTTGGAAAAGTCACAGGCGAGGCCCAGGTCTGAGATGCGCACGTGTCCGTGCTCGTCGAGCAGAATGTTAGCAGGCTTCAGGTCCCTGTACACGATGTACCTGCGATGCATGTGATCCAATCCTGTGCAAAAACAACCGATCAACAACCACTGATATATTGAACAATATCTCACAATATATGTATATATTATTACCTAGTATAACTTCGGCAGCGTAAAACTTCATCTCCGACTCGTTAAAGACGCCGTGCTGACTGAGGTGATAGTGCAGATCGCCGCCGTTCATCAAATCGAGGATGAAGCACAGTTTGTCGGGTGTGTGAAAGGCGTACGTCATGCAGACGATGAAGGGGCAGTCGACGCCGGTGCTCACCAGACTCAGCATGATTCGTTCGTTCAGTGCCAGTGTTTCTCCCTGCTTCATCTTGATCCTCTTCTTGTCCAGACACTTCATCGCGTACATCTTTCCGGTGTCGGCCTTGCGGCAGCCGTACACCTCACCGAAACCGCCGCGACCGATGATCCGATGCACACTGAAATCGTTCATCGTTAACTGAAATTAATCGTCGGCGGGAAAGAGAAAAGAAAACAATCCATTAGAACACTTTTTCAAACAAACAAACAACACAAATCGATAATAAAAAAAACAACAACAACAATGCAATCAAACAAACATAATCATCATCATCATCAAGATACAAAAGTTACAGGGTAACGTAACGATCGTTTGCGTTATGTGAGGATTAACTGTATATATTCGAAAACTTTTAGTTGTTTTTTTTTAAATAAGAAAACATAAAACTTTAATTTTAGTTACCTGGATGTTCAGCTCCAGGTTCTTCCATTGGCAAAATCGCGTGTACTTTTCACTAAAAATAAAGGAAGAAAACGATAATTAACATTAATGTGTTCATAATCCCGGCGCATCCACCAAATACACAATACCTTTCTATGAATTTCCGGAAGGGTTCATCCCGCAACTGATTGTAGATTTCCTCAATGTACGACTCGAAAAGCGTGACCGGAACGTCGTTCTTCATCAAATGATTCTGCACGTGCTGCAGGCAGGCCATCGAGTAATCCTGGATAAAGAAAGAGAAGAAAAAAAAGCAAACCCAATTTACGAACATCTTATTGGGGGAAATGTACAAAAGTCTTACGTGCGTGTGCGAGAGAAGCTCCTTCATGATGAAGTTGTCGTAGATGTCTCGTGCCTGCTTCATCCGTTCGTCCGCTCGTTCCAGTTTCTCGTACTGTTTTATCTGTGAGAAGCAAAAACGGACAATGAGAGCGCATCTTGTCGGAGAATCGCTTAAAACCCGGACGCGCACGTACAACATCCGGTGCAAAGACAGACAGTAAGTGAGAGAGAGAGAGAGAGAGATACAGAGCGTATTATTACGCTCATCTAGCAAACGTCAGCGAATCCTGGACAATCATCATCATTATTGTTGTTATGCCAGCCACCACCTTCAAACTGGGTCACACACAACAAACACACACAAACATACAATACAACAACCCCATCTCTCTCTCATCTGTCGCGCGCGCGAAATTCAATTTCCCCTCGCAAATCAAAACAATAGACAATAAGAACACAAGAGACATACATCCACAGCCCACTAAATTTAGATTTGTTTAGCTTCAAGAAATTGTACAAAACTAGTCCAGCTATTTTTAGTAGTTTATACGTGATATTCCACTGTGTTTTCCTCCCTCCCTCACTTCCTCTCTCATCCCACCACATCACATCACTCTTTCCAATCACACATACTCGATTATTATTATTATTTCCTAACCGCTTCAATCGCCTATACCTCTCTCTCTCTCGCTCTTTTCGATTTTCTATATCCCTTCTATCCCGGGTCTATTTCAAAGTCCACTCGACTATTAATCCGAATATCCTTTGATGGAGGACGGACGAAGGACGACAACACACACATACATAATGAGAAAGAGAGATACGAAATACGAGAAACGTTGGATGAGGGGAAGTGAAGGAGCGCGATCGATTTAAAAATAGAAAGGCATATCGTCGGGTGCACCCAACGAACAATAACAGCAAGAATAAAAGAAGAAGAAAAAAAAAGCGCGCTCCCTTTTCAGATCCAATCAACTCTAATTTTATTTGATTCCTTTTACTTCCTCCCGCTCTCTGTCTCTCACTCTATCACTCTCCATTTTCTCCTTTTTGCTTTATTATCTCCGCCCGTTAAACCAACCAACCAATCAACCCATCCACCCACAACTTATTGCCTTTCCACAAACACTCGAATCTGTTTACAGTGTATATATGTATATAAATCGCACATTGATTTAAATGCAATTAATCAGTCACATTTAACTTTTCCAAACATGAAAAATCAAATTAGCATTGACCAAATAAAATGACGCACGAATGTTTTCATTTCCACTTTAACAGATGCACCAAATAATGTCACGTTTCTGACGTTTCTCGATTTGTCATCCGGCAAGGTAAAACCGATCATTTCCTCGTAGCCCGCCCGAAGAGCGGAACCCATTTCCTTGCGGCACCCGGCGCCTCCGCCTCATCCCGAATCGGATGATTCCAATATAATCGCAAAGTGAAGGGGTCTCATCATCACAGACACATAAATACACCCCCCGCATCTCAAGAACAAAAATCAATACCGTTAAACGCGACCCACGAAATGATTTATACACACGCCACCGGCTCCGAAATAATGCCCCATCGACTAATAAAACGCTCATTAATTTCTCTTTCCTCTTCACTTTCTTTTAGTTTGCCATCTCTTTTCTGTCTACAAAAAAAGAATTGTGGAAGAGAGAGACAGAGTAAACGTGGGCAGCAGATTGCTAATGTTTCAAATAGAGAGAGAGAGGAGGAACGAGAGTAAATAATCCCTTTTCTGCTTGGAAATGATGCGAAGCGCGCCCCCATGAATACGAAATGCGCTAATTTCGGGACGCCAAACGCAACAAGAACGAAAGTCCGGTCGGCTTATTCACTGGGAGAAATTTAAAAAAACTGTTCTCTCCTTCTCCCTCTCTCTCTACCTGTTATACAATCTGCATTTCTTGTATGTATATACAAAAGGTCTTCATGCCTTGAACTCATCCGCATCTCTACATTATTCACGTGCAAACACGAAAGCGGGTCAGATGCGTCTACAATATACGAACAAGTACACATTTTTTTTGTTCTGTATGTTTGTTGTTAATATTCTACCCTTGCCCGCAGAAACCCCCTCGACGCCTCGTTAATTGCGCGCGTTCGGAGATAAATGCGCTAACATCCATTTAGATGGTGTTAGGCAACTTTGAGTGCTGTCTCTCTCCGTCATCTTTCGTTAATAATTTGGGCGGAAGGACACGGAAACGATGGTCGCAAACATCGATTTTGCAGGAGGCGCGACACACGAACCTCCCTCTCTCCGTTCAATAAACAAGAAGAATTTGGAGAGAGCAGAAAGTTAAAGAAAGAAAGAAATAAAAAACGAGTAGAATGTAATGTTAGGTAGAAGGCATGTGGGTAATGCGAGAACGGAAAGGAGTAAATAAAAGGAGAGAAAACGGAAAGGCCGTCTGTCTTCCTTCATCTCTCCACCACTCACCTCTTCGTAGAAGCGAAGCCGCGGCACCGGGACTTCGGACACGTTCTCGCAAAAATCTTTAAACAGTAGAAAACCTTAAACAAACAGAGAGAAAGAGATTATTTTCGGTGAAATAACATGAAACGAATAAAAAAAAAAGCAACAAGAAGGCGACTGCGACTGTGTATGCGCGCGTGTGTGTGTGTATGTGATTGGATTGGATAAATTGAGGAATGTAATGGAGTCCAGAAGCCGCCCACCGAGCCTTGTTCGGTCATCGCCTGTTTACATATATATATATACACACACAACGCACTTAGATGCACTAACACTAACCACGTTTTCCTTTTATTCCGCTTGCTTTAACCCAACAAACACATAAAAAGTGTTTGGTATAGAGAGATGCAAGGGTGGTGGTATGGTTCATTTTCATTGTACTCTTCCATCACGGCCATCTTTTCTTTTTTTGGCATGTGTGTTTTTTGGTGCGGAGGTGCCGGGCACGGGGGGGGAGACGCGAGAGGGGTGTGTGTGTTATTTAGACGCCAGTTTGTTACGACGCCGACAGTTTTATGGCGATTGGATTCCGCGGGGCTAAAAGCAACAGCGGCAATAAAAAAAAAACTTTCCCATTCTCCATAGGAATGGGAGAGAGAGAGAGAGAAAAGAACATGAGAAGGGCCACCACCCCGGGTTGTTTGAATGTTATTCCTTTTCTTTCTCCTCCTCGCCATCTCTTTTTTTTTTCTTTTTCGATGGAAAATGTAATAATAATAACGACGTTTCCATTATGCGAGCGCATCGAACAAGAAGAAGGGGCAAAGGTGAAGAAAATGGAAGTACACACACACACACACACCAAGATACGTCACTCACCGCAACAAAAGAAAGCGGAAGAAGGAAAGAGAACAGCGGCAACCCGCACCACCTCCTTACACAATCTACACCCCCCAACCTCAACCATTTCATATATTATATGTCTATATGTGTGTGCGAGTAAGATAGACGTGACAAATTGGATTTTCCATCCCCCGTGGCACATTTTGTTAAAACTAATTTAACATCTTTTGCAACTTGTTCCACACGAGATGTGACAGATAGACAGACAGACAGACATACAACGCACTCTACTTTTCAAATACATTACGAATTTCGTCTGGCCACCTCTGTCCCAAAATTGCTATAGAAACCGAAAAGTAAATAATAAATGTTGGTGGAAAATATTTTGCCAACTATTGAAAGTAAATTTCCACTAACAAAAAATATCTGTTTCTTTTATAATTTACCCGATAAACACATTAAGTTTCCTGTGTACCTTAATTTAATACAAATGTACAAGCGTATAAATATGCACTTGACATGTCAGCAAAGTAAGATTGAATTAACGTGATTTGTAGATTTGGCTGTGTCAATTACGTGGGACGACGATGATGATGAGAACAGTGTAAAGTGATAAACGAAACGCGCTCGGATCAGAATGAACAGAAATAGGAAGGAAAAACATGTACACATGAACGGATGATAGTGTGCGTTGGATGATGGTCATCATCAATTCAGTCTACACTCTAGGAAAGGCGAAGGAGGCGAGGGGGTGGGTGGTTGTTGGTCGGTTGATTGGCGACAGTAATTAAAGCGATTACGCGACGCAACTGAAAACATTCGCTCTAATAATCCAATCGCCGTTCATTCCGGCACAACACATCGCACGTCAGTTTCGAGCGCGCTGTCAAAGTCAGCTGTTGATTGCCAACTGCAAAAGTTTAGGTTCGCAAATGAATGGGAGGAAAATAGAAAGAGTGTGCATGAGTGTACAAGAGAGAGTGAGAGAGAGAGAGAGAGATGCGAACGAACAAGAGAGCGAGTGAAGGATAATTAAAAACGAGCCATCATGCACGAAGGGCATCCTCTGTCCTCGTAATAGTCGTTCTCTCCTTCTCGTCTCGTCTCTTTCTCTCTTTCATACATACTCTCGCATGCATACGTACAAACATTCATACACACATAAACATTTCAATTGCCCCGACGCGAAATTCAATTAATCTCGTTGCAATGCATGAGCACACGCATATACATATATGTGCACTCTCTTTGTTTCTCCACTCGTACATACACACACACAAACGTTGTATATTCAACAACAACAACACACGCAAAACAGATCACTAAATTACGTAAATAAAACAGGCAAACATCAACACAAAAAAAAGAGCAATACAATACAATAAAAACTCACCTAAGGTCTGATGGAAGATTTTGTCAAAGTTCACCTCGTTCTTCTTCTCCAGGTACTTGTGCATCACACTGCGAACGCTGCAACAACAACAACAATCAATTTCAGAAAAAGTGTCAAATTAACAAACAAACAAAAAAACAATGGTAACCATGGTTATATTGTTAAAAACAGCGAACCGTCATCTTGAGGGTTGCATCGATTTGCAATTGTTTCTCGAAGGAGTGTAAGAAAGGTGGCGGGAACGGGAAAGCGGAAGCGAATTTCCGCGGTGGCAAATCGCTTTTTGAAACGGAGGAAATGTCAAGAAAAGGGCGCAATAATTGGACGACCGAATATAGTAGTAATAATAGGAAACGAGAGAGAGAAAGAGAGATAAATCGTACAAAAAATGAAATAACAAAAAGAAAGATACAAGATTCCATGGACGGATTACGCAAGAAACGCGACCATCGATTCGGGAGTGAGGTAACGAGAACGAGAAAACGCGGTGATTTGAGATGCAAATTCATGTTTGCAGATGAAGAAAGGGAGAGAGAAAATAACGATTTAAAAAATAATGTGGCGAGAAAGAAACAGAGAATATTTTTATTAAAAAATGCAATAATTATGTTTAAAATTGGCTCGGATTCTTGCGGCGTTACGCAAACCCGGAAGCAGCGCCGCCTCGATGCATCATGAATGGATATGATGCACGAAACAAACGAACAATGAAAAAAAAAAGTCATAAACAAAAGAAAAAGAAGACAACTGCGGAGGCACGGCGAAAAAGAGTCGACGAAGCGCGCGCTGACGTTCCAGAGAAGCCAATCAACATATAAATTACTTTTTAATTAGTCCATTTACATCCATAAATATACATGTTTCCACTTCCCCCCAACAACCACAATCTCCTCTCTATCTCTGCAAACTATGAACGCACATTACAAATCTACGTCAAAAGGAAAATAACAACAACAAAAATTCAACATTTTACAAGATTTCTTTCACAATGTTCGAATAAAACAATGAAACATCCTACGCACGTAATAACAACATGTCAGCCGGAAAGATGATACCGAACAGCAACTGAGGTTTTTCCAACTTGACTCATTGAAAAAAAGAAGAAAAAAAACTATATATGATTATGAAATGATGATGTGAACTGTCAAATTTGACAGTTACAACGAATGTCCCAATCATAAAGTAAGTTATTATGAAAAGATAATAGAAAGAACAACCGAGGATTTCCCAATTTGACTCATCGACAAACAAACATTTTTGACTTATTAGCTCACTGTAGTCACACAATAAAAAGACACAATGAGACACAATTTCCAAAAAAAAAGAAAGAAGAATGATGATGATTCAAAACGAGGTATTTAGCAAATTAAAGAAGTAATATGCAAGCGACGACGACGACGACGTATGAATCCGTTACGTAAGCAAGTAATTACGAACGTCATCGAATGAAGGAAAAACAAAACGAAAAAAGATATCGGCGGTTATTTTTGCGTTGCAAGTCGGGGCGAGCGCGTTCAGTTCCGGCCGGAAGGTGCCGCTTCCTGTTTCTTCTCCGCAGATTTGCGTACAATTTCCGGCGAAGGCTCGCGCACGCGATAAACTTTATCGAAACTAAAGAGCTGAAAACTACAACAACAGCAAACGGTAACAGCATTGAAGATACGAAACAAAACACGACGTTAAATAGAGAAAGAGAAACACGAGAGTGAGCAACTTCCTAGAGAAACTTTACGCGCGTCATACGAATGAACAAAAAAAATATAATAACAACAACAACAACATCAGCTTCGACGACGTTTTATAATAATAATAATATGCGTATACTACAATAATACGTGTATATTATTATTATTAGTAAGAGAGTTTGATTTGAATTGCTAAACGACGATCGACGAAACGAATGTCGATGGGGTCACACAAAGCAGGCAGGCAGGCAATAAACAATAATTAGAAGTGCCGAAAATTCCCACGCATTGCAATTTTCGTAATGAAACGTGGGAAAAGCGTTTGTTGCCATCGTTACTACTAGTTTATTTGTACTTTGCGTCTCGACTCGTAATAAATATGTAACGAAAACTGTTGTAATTGAATCATCCATCGTTTTAATTCATCTTTCAGATGGTTGTTGTGTCATCAGCCGAGACCGGATTATTATCAGTTGCAAACTCAAATATTTGAAATACGGGAGAGTGAGATAGTCATGATAGTCGTCGCCGTATAGTGTTTGTCCAAGATTGCGGCGGCCCGTATTCTGATTACGATGTCAACACTCAATTATTTAATTATATTGATTTGGCACCCCTTTCTGCATTTTAACAAATTTAGGGTAAATGGAGTTGCATAATTAACGAAAATAATACAAAAATGTAAAGTCGATGCGCGTTCGATTTGATTCGATTCGATTCGCAGTGACAAAGCAAACATGCGACGATGACTGACATTATCTCCGTCTATCGTGTATTGATAATAGGACTAAATCGACCAATCAGTCAATTACTTAAAAATAGTTCGATATGCGAGTCAAAAGTTCGAAATTGACTTGCTCTGTGATGTATTGTTTTGTTTGTACCCCCCAACCGATCTTTGTTGTACGTGCAAATACATTTTCGATAATTTTGTTTGCCCATTTCACAGAGAGAGAGAAAGCAGAAAAAAAAAACAAAAGCACGACCGGATTGAATTTCCTTCGTCCGCCTACTGCGCGAACCTCATTTACCAAATGGCGAACGTCTTTCGTTTTACTTCCACCTCGGCAAACTCGATTCAAGTCATTGCTCAATCCTAATCATTATTATAAAGTGTGTACACCTTTCTTATCGATAATACGTAAACCTTTGCCCGCATATTTATTCATTATCTCTCTCTCTCTTTCTCGCGCTCTTTCTCATACACACACTCTTTTTCCATCGTTTTACGTGCTTAACTGTAATTTCCAATGATGTGCATACACACACATACACACACTTCGACTCTTATCCGCCAGATTAGGTGTTTGTGTTTTGTTTATCAGCATCAAACTTGAAATTGAAAAGTGTGAAACAAACAAACAAACCAAACTCTCTCGCTCCGTCCGAAGTGGTTAAATTTAGAAAATGAATGGAATTCTTTCTTTTTCTCCTTTTTATCGAGCGGTCCGCGCGTTGTCTAAAGTTTATTCTTTGGCACCGAAATAGAAAAGCGCGCTCGATCTCTTTCTCTCTTACGTCTTACGACCTGTATCTCCTGTTTATTTCTTTGTCGCACGTCCACCTTCCTTATTTTTGCGCGTTTCGCACGAAAAAGATCGAGAAAATGTCTCAAAAGAAAACGCGTCCTATTTTTTGTTTTAATTTAAGAAATTGAAAATTGCAGACAGCAAAACGATCATATTATCGATATAGATTACGAAATGAAAGAAAGTAATAAAAAAATAACCGATTGCTAAATTTGGAAGGTGTGAAAACAGACCAATACTAATGTTTTCGCACCTTCCCATTAACGTTGTTATAGTTACACACATTTGTATTAAATAAGTAAGTTCAATTGTTTCCTTTCGCACCTTTTGGAAAGGATGGATTTTACTAATACCCCATTAACGTTCCAAGTATAAAATATCGTATTGGATTGGATCTATTTAAAACATTTTTTTTTTGAGATGGAATTTCTTTCGTTTATGTTTATTCCAAATAGCAGATACGTAAAACACGATGAGTGTGTGTGTGTGTATATACGTAACGTAATACATCTGCGCCTCTTCCAGAAGGTATCGATCCGGGGGAGATGGGTTTTGTGTGGTGTGGTCTGTATCATGGGGTGGTAAGATAAGATATTTCGAAAAGGATCTAGTTTGTTAGATACAATGAATATCACAGTTTAAAACAAAATGAGAATACATTTGCGTTAAAGCAGCCAACAGCTACTGACTGTGAGCCACGTATTGCTGGATATTGATCGGGTTTGAAGATTTAGAAAAGAAACTATCCAAATTCAATTAGTTTATAGGAAACGAAAATATATCTCAGAGTTGTTCGTGTTAAGCTAATTTAATGGAATGTGTGTGCACATAATCGAAGAGTGCGTAAACAATTGCAATTCGTATTTGAAGGGCGCGATTAAAAGAATGATATAATATTGAGCAAGAAAGAGAGAGAGAGATAAGTAGACGTCGCCGATGTAAATATGTATTTTTCGGGAGGAGGCGGTGGTGGTGGCTGGCGACTTCAGATTTTCACTCGATTGGTCGCAGGCGCCGCCGAATTTCCATCAATCTCCTACTACCCCCTACACCCTCCTTCAGATCTATCCTTCGCACACGCACCACACCCCCCCGTTCACCTCCCCCGACACCACTCCAATATTCCTGTTATTATTTTCCAATCCATTTCCTCTTTCAATGTTTTTCGAGTTGAACGACCTATATAATATATACTCTATATAAGTGTATAGTAAATCCGTATATAGTCACTACACATATATATATAATATAATGGCCAGTAGAAAGTGTCGCCTCCTTTGTTATTGTATATTTAAATTTAACAACGGTAAACATGGAGGTCACATAATATAATTATTATTATTGGTATTGCGGAAGATGCAGTGGTGGTCGTCTCCGTCGGTCGGTTGATCGGTTGTCATGGCTATATGTCATCGTCTGGATGAAAGAGAGAGAGAGAGTGCGTATGTGTGTGAATGTGTGGGTGCGAGGAAGGGAGAGCGAAAGAGGTAGGGGGTTGTGATGGTGGTGGTGTTGTTGTATATGTTCTCTTGGACGAGATTGACAGGAGTAAGAGAGAGAGAGAGAGAGATAGATAGACTCACCTGGGATCGGGCAGGACTATCTTTTTGCTGGCCCTCGCCGCCGGCGTGCATTTGCTCTTCTCCATCGCCATCAGATAGCTGACATCGGCCAGCACTGCCTCTAGGTCCGCCATTTTGCTACCGCTTGCACTGCACGCACTCACTTACTCACTTACTTTACTCGCACTCGCGAAAATAACAAAACAAAAAAAAACACACAACACACACACACAAAACAACCTCGAAAATGGAACCGAACAGAACAACTAAAAAAGTGATATTGTTATTTACTCTGAGGTCGTTCCTTCTCCTCCTCCTCCTCCAACCACTAACAGTAGCAGCAGCAGCAACAAACACTTCCTCCCCCAGCTCAACAGCGGATTGTCTCCTCTTCTGCTTCTTCTTAAACTTTCACCAACTTCTTCTTCGTCGTCGTCGTCCTCTTCGACGATCAGATCGACATCGCAGACGGCTGCTGTCGCTCCACCAATGACGGCCCCCTTCTTCTTCCACCACCTCCTTCTCCTTCTTCTATTCCCATCGACGTCGGCGGTGGTGGCTCGACTCCTTCTTTCCGCACCGACCGACAGACAGGCAGACCAAGTAAATAAACAGTTGAACGAAAACAAAAACAAACAACAACGAAAATCCTTTGGCGTCTCAAGGCAACCGTTGCGATCTACAGCAGCGCGTCGTATAAATCACTCGGGCCGAGGAGCGGGTGACTGCGGAGAAGTCGGCTGCTGTGCTTCTCGTCTCCACGGTAACATCTCAAGCGGACCCCGCGTTACATAACAACGCTCGCCGACGGGAGAGCATGTGTGTGTGATGGTGGTGGTGGTGATGCCGCCGCGAGAGAGTATCCCGAATCCTATTGTTCGGTTATGATCTACTGCTGCTGCGGCTGCTGTTGCTGCCCCCGTTTACGGTGTTCCACCAATAGGATGGGCGTCGCGACGTGGCGGCGGCGGTCGTCGCTCCGCTGAACCGACACGCAGAAGGGGGCAGTAGTGATTGCAGGTTCGATCCTGCTTCAATCGTAATACGAAAACGATGTGTACGGCATGCAGCCGAGATGATGGTGTCGGCGACGACGGCGGCGGCGGCGGTGGAGGATGCGATGAATTCGTGTGGAAGACCCGTTTGTTCTGCGCGCGGCACTGATTAGAACGCGACGCTCCACGCAACGAGACGCGACCAGACTGAGGCGTTCCCCCCACTGTCACCCGAAGAAGAACGGACAGGAGCAAAGCAATCGGATTCCCATTGGCGCGCGACTTCGGACGCCCTCGGCCCCAGATTCGCGCAACCAAACAGCTGATAACGGCAACGATCAGCTGATGCACGATTAATAATGATTGCATTTCACATTACATTACCGAATCGAACGCGAATTTGCAAAACGCACAACGACCGAACGAACGAAAGAGAAAAGAAACGCGCTAAAACCATCAACAAAGAACATCAAAACACTGCAATATTTGACACCTGTCAAATTTGACAGCAAGTGTGTCAAGTGAACTACTCTGATTTTGAGCGAAAATAGTATTTCTTTTGCGACTCGAATAGCAATTGCATATAAACATGTCGTTTCTTTTAACTGTAAATAATTTTTGAAAAATAAACCGATAAACCAAGTACGTGATGAAAGAAATGCACGTTTCCAATTGAGTAGCTCGAATGAATCGATCTAAGTCTTCGTCGTTGTTATTGTTTTCTTTTTTTTTCTGTGTGTGAGTTCATTTGTTTCGAGATGGCCGAGTGTCGTGGTACGTTCGAAGGTTTAACGGAAAGGACGGCGCAACTGTTCTACGGAAGGACGGAAGGTGACAGGATATTAATTCGCGACACGCTGGACGAGCTGAACTCCATCGATTACAGATACCCGATAGTCACGAACAATTCGGTGCGCAAAACATAACCTAATAAATTAATCATAAACACTTACTGACGAGTTACTTTCGCAGAGGGCTGTGCTCCTGATTTACCAATTCTGTCGACTGGTCGAGCCAGAGGATTCTGCGTTGGCGGCGAAATGTTCCCTCTTGATACGCAACCTGGTGATGAAGCAGAACGTCGCTGTGGAAGGTCGCACCTTGACGATGATCATCGCCTGGCTGCTGGACTCGCTCAAAGAGGCCGGCAAGGAGGAGAGGATCAATTTGCTCACAACGCTGGACTGTCTCCTGCGACACAATGCACAGGAAATACATAACGTCAGTGATAGAGAATTCAATTATTGATGGGATTCATTTAAAGTAAAGAATAATTCTAGTTATTACCACTTGCAGTCATCAAAAATGGAATACTGTTGAATTTGTTGCACGAGGAGGCTCCAGATGAGGTGGCACTGCTGGTAGTGCAATGTCTTGAAGCTTGCTGCACTCCATCACCTGCAATTGACACAGGCCATCCGTGCATCCAGCACGAGCTCTGCACAGCAATCTTTTATAAATATTTGCAGATGGACAGGAATCCAAATGTTGAAGAATTCATCACAGTTAAAGTAAGTCTACTAGAGAATGAAGATAAATTTGGTGCTCACCTAATTAATTGTTTGTTGCAGTTGTTGATTTCTTGTTTGAGAGGACTGCAGAATATCGTGGTTCAAAATGAAGAGTTCACCGCTGCGGATTTGGGGCTTCTGTTGGGTGTCGCAAAGTCTTTCATGCTTTACCAATTGAAGGGAATCCCTTTTCTGCCACCGCAAAAGTTGATGCCATCGGCGATGAGCGTGCCGGAGCAGGCAGAGACGACGACGGGTCGCGGCGGTGAGAAGAGGGGCGGTAAAATTGCCAGGGCTAGAAAGAAAAACGGCGGCACTAAGCAAACGCCAAATGGTAGCTGCAGTAAGGGGATGATGCTGGCGGTTGAGGAGGACGCTCTTGTTGTAAGGTCGAGGACGAGCGACAGCGAAGTGTCGGACACAGAAAATGGGGCCAGGGGACCGGCCAAAATAACCCTACTCGAGAGTCGAATAAGACAGTCTGCTTTGCAATTACTCTTGAGCGTCTACAAGGTACAATTATTGTTTTTTTTAGACTTGGACCATATACGAATATATACATACTTACATTTTTTAGTCGGTGGGCAAAAAAACGATGTTTTCCTATTGGTCCAGCTTCATCCCGGACGCCGCACCGCTTTCCACCTCCTCACACAGTCTGACCAATTGCATCCTCAAAGATCCTTCCAGCAAGGGCAGGATGGCCGCCCTCAACGTGTTGCTGCTGCTGCTCAGTAGCTCGAAAGTTTACCTGTCGCAGGCGGAATTCAGGTAGAATCTTATATCAGTAATCAGTAAAGTGAAATCGAATATGGATTGACTTTTACTTTTCTCGCAGTGATAAGGTGGGGTCGTTCACGCCGTTCTCCGTGACGTTGGGTGGCATCATCAGGGAACTGCACCACTGCCTCTGCTTGGCGCTGAACGACACCTCGCACCACGTCCTCACGCAGGTGCTCAAATGTCTTGCAGCCCTGGTGCAGGCAACGCCCTATCACCGTCTTCCGTCCGGATTGGTGAGCAAGGTCGTGCGCAACGTTAAGCCATTGGTCCATCATAGGGACGTTACCGTGCAGGTGGCATCGCTGATAGTGCTGAGCTGCACGTTGGCCTCGGAGTTTGCCGTAAAGGAGGTGCGAAACGCCCTATTGAAGAATGTCACGCCGAGGGATGCCGAAAGCGACTCGGCTAAGGTCGAAGAATTCGTGGATTTCGCCAATTTCGATTATGACGAGGACGAAGAAGAGATTGGAAGCAGCGTTGAGATGCCGTGGGTTTTGGCGAAATGCGTGCAATCGCTGGAACGGAACGCGCACGCCCCCGTCAAAGTTGAATGTCTGCAGGTGATATCGGCGATGAGTCGCAATCATTTCGAACAGTTGCTCCGCAATCATTCTATGGATCTGATGCGTGCGTTGGAGGTCGCCCTGCAAGATCCTTTCCTTGACGTCAAGCTGCACGCAGGTCGTTGCGTAGAGTTCGTGGCGCAGGCAATGAGTCGTCACGGACCGGTCCCGAGGAGCGTCACATTTTGGCAGTGCCTGCTGTCAGGTCCATTGCTGGGATTGCTGCAGAACGAGGATCAGGCGACGCTGCGTGCCATCGCCTGCGATTGCCTTGCGAGCATAGGGGCGAACGTATACGAGGAGTTGCCCCGCGACAAGCAGTTGCTATGTATAACGCAGCTTTTTGCCAGCGCCAAAGACGAGGATGCCGGTGTCAGGGGTGCGGCGATCAGAGCTCTTTCAATCTGCGTGCTCTACCAGTCTCTGCGCGACGATGTCGGCTTCATACTGGACACCATGGAAGCCGTGCAGCGGGGACTGAGCGACGAGAGCGTCGGACTCAGAGAAAAATCTTCGTGGTCGGTGGGCAACATCAGCGAAGTGCTGTTGAGCAACGAGACTGCCAACGAGGAGATCTCCGACGAGCAGGTGTTGACGCTCATTGACAAGGTCGTCGCGAGTTGCCGCGATAACGACAAGATCAAGTGCAACGCGGTGCGAGCCCTCGGCAACCTCTTGCAGCTGATCAAAGCCGAAACTCTGACAGGCAACCAGACGTGCAGGTTGACCACGGAGAGTGCGATTGCAGCCATCCTGCGGGTCTCTACCTGCGGGCAGAACATGAAGGTGCGTTGGAACGCTTGCTACGCCCTCGGCAACATCCTCAAGAACGAATCTCTGTACTCGCTCACGAACTGGCTGAAAGAGACTTTCTCTGCGCTCATAGAAATGGTGAATACCTTCAAGAACTTTAAGGTGAGGATCAACGCGGCGCTAGCATTGGCCGCGTGTCCACGTAGGGAACTGTACGGAGTCCATTACACCGTCGTTTGGAAGTCTCTGGTGAAGGCTCTGCAGAACTCGGAGAACATGGACGACTTTAGCGAGTTCAAGCACAGGGATCACCTGATAGAACAAGTGAGTTAATATAGGAATAATGAATGTGCGTGAAAAATAAAAGAGGGATTGCGAAAAAAGAAAAGAAAAAAACAGTATAAACAATATAGTGTGTGTGTGTGTGTGCATGTTACGATTTAAAAGATTTAATTCGATTTAATTCAATTTACGTTTGTTTTACGTTCTTGCGAAGATTTGCCTGTCGCTGGGTCACCTGGCAACACTGATGACGTGCGAGGATCTGTTGCCGCTGAAGGATGCTGTGGCCGAAAGCGTTCTCGCAGATCAGATGAGGAGGACACGAGACAGACTCGTACCGGAGAAGGCGGCGATCCTTCTCGTCGCACGTGAACGTATTCTGTCGCTCGACGTGGGAGCAGCACCAGGTGAACGGATGGAAGTGCACGAATCCCTGCAACGCGTCTTCAGCGGCGTCGAGTTGTAAACGGTATTATTTAAAAAAATATAATTATATTTATGTATCTCACTCTCTTGTTCACGTCTTGTCTGCCTTCCCCCATTCATCTGTCTCTCACTCTCTCTCTCTCTCTCTCTTTCTTACTCTCCTTTAATTGTTTTCCAAGAGATTCTTGAGAGCGCTCTGAAATTTGCTGCTCACTTGCTTTTGTATCGCGATGCTCTTCTCTAAATCCTCCATCATAAACTCAAACTTCTTGTACTTGTCCTTATTCGATACGCTTCTATCCTCCTCCTCCTCCACCTGCTCTGCGACCATAACATTGTTCCAAGTCTTCTCCAGATCGAAATCATCGTCCTCATCTTCCAACACTTCTTGCGTTTCTATCGAGCCAACAGAGGTGGTAAAGTCGATCGAGTTCTTGACGCGATCGTTCTCCAGGTAGAACCAGGCGCTCTCGCAAAAGTCGGTCATCTCTTTGGCATCGTACACCACGAAGAGTTGATTGAAGACGGTGTCGGTGAACAGCTGGTCCAGCTCCACGTTGATCTCGTGCAGCTTCTCCGAGGCGAGAACCTCGACCACTCGCACCCACAGCAACATATTATCGTCGTCTTCCACTCTTCTCGTGGCGATGACAGCGGCGATTCGATGGAAGACTCTCTCCCAATTCTTGAACGTCGATTCGCAGTAGCGCGAAATCCATCCATGGTTCCGTTTGTCCGTCAACTCTTCGAATGTCGGCAGCTGCAGCATTTCGAATTGCTCGATCAGCAATCGCCTGTAATCGGAATCCTTCCAGAAGCTGGGGAAATAGCGGTAATCGCACGGCAGGTAGTCTGGTATCTTGCTCGGTAGAAACTCCTTGAAGATGCTGGGAAATTCCACGTGCTCGCAGCAGTCCTCGTTGAGGGCGATTTCCCTCAGTTTCCGCAGTCCGTCGTTGTACAGTTCGACGACGAGGTTGATGTTGTCCAGGCACTGCTTGTAGGCTAAATTCCATTTGGAGTAGCTGACCACCCTCCTCCACAGTTCCGCACCCAAACCCTGCGACAAGAATCCCATCAGGGTGTTGAGGACCAACGGCGGATTTCCGTTCACGTTCTCCGCCAGATATCCGAGAGCTTCGTCGAACAACTCTGGTCTGTTTTCACCTGAAAACAATAGTATTTATAATAGTAATTATAATAGCATTTAAATAGTAAGTAGTTGGTATTTGCTTACCCGCAATGATTTTAATTCGATTGATGGAACCGCCCTCGACTAATACGTTCAGAGCCTTCCGCGAAACGGCGTCGAGTTCCGCCTCCTGCAGGATAAGCACGATGGGAATGACCGTCTTCTGCGGAAAGTTTTGCACGAAAATCCTTAGCTGCGACGCGATCTGCTCGAATCTTTTCGCGATGAAAACGTGGCCGTGGCATTCGTAGTCGAGCTGCTCCTCGATCCGATGGAAACAGTACGTGATACGCGTCTGATCCTGGCACAGTTGCTCCAGCATCATGTCTTTATTGTCTTTTAGGTCCAGGTAGTCGGAGAGGACGATCGACGATGAATTGTTGACAAAGTTTACCTTCCAGTAGAGGAATCCGCTCGGCCTCTGGAACTTGCTGAAGGCGACGATCAAACGTTTCTGTATTGACGCGAGGTTGATCTTCTCGATGCGCTGCCTCGCTCTCGGCACGATCTCCTCGGGCACTCCCAGTTTGTAGCGTTTCCTCAGGTTGAGCGTCAGATCTTGCGATTGCATGCGTATCTCCTTCGCCACCTCGGCCGGAGTCTTCTGGCATATCCAGAGAGGGCTCTGCTCTACGGCTTTCCTCTTTCGCTTGTTCGCCGCAACCTTCCGTCTCCACTTGGTCAGCATCCTACGCTGCACGAAGCGACACCTCAATTCATCCAATCGATCCTTCCTGCACGATTCCTCCACACCCACCAACATCCTCTCGACGACGATCCTCACCGCATCGTCAATTTCCTTTTGCTTGATCCGTTCCTCCTCTTCCTCTCTCAACCTCAACCTCCGTAACTTGGCGGCATCCCTCATCTCTTTATCCTTTCTCTCCTGCTCCTTCTTGCGCCTCGTCTCCTCCATTCTAGCCTCATGCATTTGTCTCTCCTCGCGTTGTTTCAGTTCCATCTGCATTTGCCTCTCCATCTCCCTCTTCTCCGACAATTCGCGCTCCATCCTCAACCGCAATTCTTCATTCATCCATCGTTTCCGTTCTTCCTCGATTTCTCGCCTCTTCTGTTGTTCTGCCTCTCGCTTCAGCTGATCGTCGGCGACAGCGGCGGTTGTTGTTGTTGCAGGTTTCACAAAATTGAAGGTGGAGGAGGTCGTCGTCGATTTAAAACTGAAACTCGGAGGCGCTGCTGCAGCGGTGCACCGCTGGGGAATTACGGCCTCTTCAACTGCTGCGGGTTTCTTCAAAATAAAGTGGAATCCGCCGGACGGTTTTGAATCCAATTGCTCTTTCTTCTTCTGCAAATCATGCTTGATGGCGGCGAAACCTCCGAAAACAACCTTGGCTGGTGGTTGAGAAGTTTCGTCGTCCTCATCATCCTCCATCTCCTCATCGTCCTCTCGTTCTGCTGGATCTTGCGAGTAATCTTCTGCAGCACCGATCAAAGAAACAATAGGTGATTTCTCTTCGACGATTGATAACTTTTCTGCTGCTGCTGCTGCTGATGATGATGAGGTTGTTGTTGTTGCAGCAGCGGGTTTACTTAATTCTTCGGCGAATTCGGATAAATCGAGATATCCGTTCTCATCGAAACTGTATTGGGGTTCGTGATTCCGAAAGAGTGGCGGCGGCAACGATTTATTGCCGCAGACAATTTCCCCGACCGTTCTCGTCCGTTTCGATTCGATGACGTTCACGGCCCTGTCCAGAGGGTACGGATAATCCGGCAAAGCAAACGCGCCTCTGTCCAATAGGACGTGGGTTCGATCCTCGTTCATCTGCAGACTGTAATACTCGAACAGATCAATGGTCGAGGCGATATCCTCGAATGCCAACATCGAGATCAATTTGTCAATGGGATAGAGGGTTTTCGATCTGGGCGAGTAACATTTGATTATCGCCTTCACGGCTTTCTGTCGAATCTGCATGAAATATCTGAAGAGGATGCAAGCGTTCAGGTACGTCGTAGATCTGAGCAGCTTGAAGAATTTCACGTAATTATTTGTGTCTATCGCCGAATAAACGTCCAGCGCGAAACGGACCTGCGACGATCTTTGTATGTCGCCACGGAGCTGCTGCACCTCCCACATGAAATTGCCATCGTTCAAATTGAGCAAGATCACGTACGCTCTGAATTCCGCTTCGTTTGAGCATTTCACACCCTTAACGTCCAGATCGTGGTACATGTACTTGAGGGTTTGCAGACATTTCGTTAGATTCTCGGTGTTGATCTTCTGGTCGAAAACCGATGGATCCTCGGCGACGAGTCTCGCCGAGCAATGTATGTGAAATCTGGCGCACTGCTCGACCAGCTCCACCGAGCCCAGGCAGCACAACTCCTGTTGCGTTATATCCTTTCTGATTCCTCTCGTCCGATCCCACAGGAAATGGTACCATTCTGCCATGTTCGTATCAGCGTTCTCGCACAGATCCATAATCTCGTGCATCAAGTATCCCATCGTCATCTGCAGTACGTCCACGTTTCTCAGTTCGTGCGGGAGCGGTGCCTCCTGATCCGCCGAACTCCTCGAATACTGCTTCACAGCAATCGGATAGTTCATGGATCTATCCGAGTTCTGCTCGTAGAGCGCCACCTGATGCTGCACCTCCCTCATCAGTCGTTCCTTCTCCGAGCACATGTCCGGACACGTCCCCCTCGTCACCTTCGCCATATCCACACTCTTCAGATTTCGCCTCCTAAGCCTAATCAATTTATCTCTTGCTTCCAGCAATCTGTACTTCTCCTCAGTACTCACTCCAGGCAATTTCAAACTGTTCAGCAGCTCCCTCTCCCTGGGATCTGCACTACTCATCTCCTTCTTCCTCACAACATTCTTCACCCTCTTCTCTTTAACCTCGGGCAGCAGTCTCCTCTTGAATCCAACATCTGCTCCCATCGCAGCCAGCTCACTCTGCACCTCTGCATCCATGCCCCAATCTGGTTCCTTCTTCTTCTTGCTCTTGTACATCTCCACGAGGAACTGTTGACCCTGGAACTGGCCAGCTCGCTCGTAGGCCTCCTGCACTCCGGCCTCCTTCTCGAAATACACCAAGCACATCTGATGTCTGGGCCTCAGGGAAATCTTGACAACATGTCCGAACTGCTGGAAATACGTCTTCGCCACACTCTTGTCCTGAAGCAGGCTCGGTGGAACATTGGAACATCTCCAAAAGTAAACGAAAAAAAAAAGAAGAAAGAAAGCAAGATGTGATGATATTGAACGCAAATGTGAACCAACTTATTACCTGATACATTTAAGCTCGTCCATTCTGCTTACACATAAACAACAACAACAACATTTAAAAAACAACAACAAGTTTGGGGGGGAAATAACCGGCAAAAATAACAAAGTGGGCCAAAGTGGGCTATCAGCAGAATGAAAACACAAATGAATAGAAATACGTTTTAAAGCAATACTGCCAACCGTAATTCAAAAACATTTGAAATCTGTCCGCGGTTATTTGAAATCTGTAATCAGTGAAATAGTGTTTGCAGCAACCACTTTGAAATATTCTTTTTAATATATTAAATTGCTTGAATTTTGCAACAAACAACAATATTCTTCTCAACGTTGACAAAAATAAAAATGACATTGACACAAAATAAATTGCCGCCAACCGAATTTTAATTACTTACATTTTACAATAATTTAATTGTCTATACATTCTAACTAATTCTAATATGCACTTGGATAAGAATATTATGAATCACTGATATTAACACATAATATATATAGCATTTGAATTTATAATAATTTGTTTGAAAAAAAAGTACACTGGGTTGCCTATGTTGCCAATTCTAATAAGATCTATTTAAAATAAATTAATTGGCACACGTTCTATTCTATTGCGTTTTGTACACAGGGTCATTGTCTTTTATTTTTTTTACAATTAATAATTTTTATTTTTGGCTACAACTTAAAAGTACGTAAAGAAAAAAATATATAAGTATTAACAATGCTATTTCTTGTTTTTTTTTGTTTGTTTTCCTCTCTATATAATTCATCGCTTTCACTAATGTTATTTCAAACTAGTTCCGCTCTTTCAAATATTTTCTATACGTCGCTTGCATTCAACGATTAATACGTATTTCTGCAACACGACGACATTTCTATGGAATATCTGCAATACAGAAATAAAGAGACAGAGAGAGATAGAAAGAGACGGAAATATGAATCAATTAATTAAGCTAGATTTTATTGATTAGACCATACTGTTGCGGGTCTTGCACTGCTGGATGGCCTCATTGAAGCCCTGGCAGAGGGTCAGATCAGGTTGGGTCTGAGCGCACTGCAGGAACTGCTTGATCTCCCAAGCGCAGGGACCCTGTGCCTCACCAGCCTGTGCTTGCTGTGGGTATTGCTGTTGAGCTGGGGCAGCAGCAGCTTGCTGCTGTGGTGCAGCCTCGGAGGAGCTTCCGCCGCTGAACATGCCTGTTTTGCAAATTTTCATCATTTCAACAAATGTTCATCCTTGAAGTGTATTTCATGTTTATATTACCGGTGACAGCGTGTCCTACGGTGTGTCCGATGGCAGATCCGACGGCGACGCCTCCGGCGGTCGCAGCCATCTGGGCGAAGAGTCCTGGTTGCTGAGGTTGCGCCATCGCCGGAGGCTGAGCTGGAGGAGCGGCGACAGGGGCGGCTTGTGGGGCCCTCGCAGGAAGGGTAGTCCTATTCGATCACAAAACAATACCAACATTAATATCGAATAAAGAAGCGATGTGCTTATTATCGACGAAACATAAGGAATAAATTATATACCTGGGGGTTGGGCTTGGGGATCTTCCACGACGAGCCATTGTAAATTAGAGAGATGAGATGTGATGTCTTCACTGACTGAACAATCAATAAATAATTGCACGGAGCGTGTTTAGTTGGTTACGTAAATCGGGGAAAAACTGCGGCGCACGAAAAGTCACCAGATTATATAGATTCGACGCGACAAAAAGTTCTAGAATTAAAGCGCCACCTCAGCTACGACGTACGTCTCCAGTGCAAAATCGTATAAAAAGAGAGACAACAATACTTGAGGCTACTCTGGCATTAAATCGCCTGTCGAAAATTAGTTATATATAAAAACTACGCGTCACACGGTCAAAGGTCGAAAGACAGGATCGCAATTTGCCAAAAAAATAAAAGAACATTCTGACTCACTACGATTTCCAATTGATAAAAGTTGGAAAAGAAGATGATAATTCTCTTTTACTGTTGGCAACAGAAGATTATCGACAAATTCATAAATTTCAAATTGTCAACCCAACGAAATGAAATGACGCAACATTGTGCAAAACTTGCGAGTTGCGCGCAAATTGCGCAATTGTTTGAACTAGCGCCAAAAAGCCGAATTCGAAAATATTTTGCTTCCTAGAAATAATAGCGCAACAATTCCTAGTAACTATTAGCGACGTGACGTAATAATAGTTAATGCTATATATCAAAGAGAAAACAAACTATATGCAACTTGCGCAACGATTGCAATACCGAACATTGCCGATTGGCAGCCGAAACTTAGGAAACGAAATGCGCTAAACTGCGCATTGCGAAAACAATTCCAAAAATTTAAAGAAACAAAAGCAAATAAAAGTGTTGTTGTGCACTCACGTGTGCTGCTGACGTGTTGGTTGCTTCGTGATTGGCGCGATCCTTTGAGGGGGTGGCGGCGACGGATGCTGCGGGGGCGGACTCCTCATTACCGGCGACGAAGCACGAGCCCCGCCTCCTCCTGATCGTCCACCACCTCCACGTCGGCTCATGTCTTCAGCAGCGGTGGCAGACAGGGAAACGCGAGAAAACGCGAAAAACAGTCAAAAAAAAATGGAAAAACGCGAAGGAAAAATGAAAATGAACGAGACACCTCCACTGACAGATAATTTGTTCGTTTCCACGCGACAAATAAACAAGTGGTAATAATAAACAAAATTTAACAAAAAAAAAAGAAATTCAGTAAATAGAGATGAGAGAGCCGCAGCAGCAGTAACAGCAGAATTGCATGAAACGAAATGTAAATAAATAATATTTACCTGTTATTTTTTTTATGTTTTCAAGGCGCGACTCGCGTCATTGTTATCATCTGGATGCGTTCGGAGAGAGAAAGAGAAGGAGTGATGAGATTTAAAATAAGAAAATAAGAGAAGTTGTTTGAATGCTGGGATCAGGGGATTCGCGCGAATTCTATTAGCACAGTCGATCCAGAGCGCCGCGACGGTCCAATGGAAGAGCTGAAAACAAAACAAAAACAACATTGGCATTAGCAACGAACAGCTAATAACAGATGAACAACGCTCGACGATCAAACAATGGAACTGGTAATTATAATCTCATAGAATAGTTATTAGTTTTGTTGCGATTAACACTTGAAATTGCAATTTATGTGTGCGTGCGTGAGTGCGTGCGTATGGAGTTCCGTTTTTGTTTACCAACAGCGGTGACTTGCTTTTCCCCCGCCTAAATTCTTGTCCAAGATGAGTGGAGAAGGTTCGGGACGCGCTGCGACAGATGGCGCCGTCCGTCTCTCGTCTCTATTTGAATTTTGAACGATCTCTCGTTGTGTGCGTGTGTGTGTGTGTGTTGGTGAATTGGACCGAGGCGGATGCAAATGACCTCCTTCTCTCATCCCGCATCCGATTCCACTCAAAAGTCTCCGCTTTTGCTCCGTCCGCTCGTTCCTTTCTCGAGCGTCTCTGAAAACGAATAAAAAAGAAATGAAGAAAGAAAACGAACATTATTATTGTTATTATTTCAAAAAAACAAAAAGGTACGAGGATCGGAATGTGGGTCAGGTTCGTAACCAAGCAACCACCCGCCGTCGTCGCAGCAGCTACATCAGCATCAGAGAAAAACGAAAGTAACGCGAAGCAAAAAGAGAGAACTTTCTCTTCCTCCGCGCGTTTGATCCTTTTAAAGGATTAATCGTTATCGAATCACACGTTCTCCTCCTCTCCACAGCACCCTTCGATATTTGCAGATGACGTCCGCTCACTCTCGGAGAAAACATTCTTTGCATCTGTCTCTTTTTCTCTCTGTGATTTGTACCAATTCGCGTCCGCATAATAAAGAACACGACACGACGAAATCACATGACGAAACACACACACACACAAAAGAACTCAAAATCCGGAACGCGCTCCCAATTCCTAACAAAATAACAAAAAGGCAACACGTCAAATCCGAATTGATATTAATTTCATCTCCATGACAACCCTTAACGTACTTAAAGTGACAGTTCGTCTTCGGATCGGCGCACGCAATCGTCCGTTCCCATTCAAATAGATGAACAAATTGTGAATTGATAATCGAAAAACGTATTCCTCGCTTCCTTCATCATCATCATTGTTATTATTATTATTATTATTTCTTTCTTTCAACTATATTGTTTTCCGATTCAATTATAAAAACTTCAATGCCAATTTATACGTAACCACGGTAACAATAAGTACCGGCGACGCTGTATGCTCGTTTCCATGGCTAAGACAACAACAGCAACTGTCAAAGAGTTCCGGTGGCGCGCGCGTTCGCGGTGTTAATTGTTAAATCGAATATTGCATGTGTGTATTTACACAGTGCATATAAATATGTCATCGGATTAGGTTTCGGGGACTTTGTGCCAGAATCGTTGCAAATCGAAGTGGGTCGTTCCGTAACCATGGCAAACAATGCTTTTAGTTCTATCATTAACATCAATTATTAACGTCTCTCTCTGTCTCTATCGCTCTTAACGCAATCCTCCTTCAAATTCATTCACTCTCTTTCCTATTCTTCCAATATCTTTCATGTTCTAATTTCACTTTTTTAATTGAAGCGAGAAGAAACGTCGCGACGTGTTTTCACTTTTTTTTGTAGTTGTTGTTACTGCTGCTGGAATACTCTCTTTCTCTTTGCAGATCGTGATCTCGTTTCGCTAACAAGGAGTATCACAATCACTTTGAAAACGTACAAAGTTTCGTGCTTCTTTTCGGTAACGGTTAGTTGGCAATAGTTTGCAAGGTTAATATGCTCGCTGGTAATCTTTATTGGTAATAAACTTTCCGCGCAGACAAGTTTAAGTAGCCCATTAAACAAAAAAACAAACGATAGTTTATGGATGCCATGGCGACAGAAATTGTACGTCTTTAATTGGTCCCCGTCGTCATGGGAGGATCAAAGAGCTCTGGATCGGACTTTGCGGTCCGACGATCGCCTTGTTCATCATCATCATCGCATCTCTCTTTCTTCCAACAACAATTCTTAAAGAGTCCTATGGTTCTGCACGAACCATCTGTGCGGATCCACGGCCGAGCGTGACTCACCGGCGGCCCCAGATCATTAGCGCATCGTCGGTGCTTGTATAAGGAAAGATTTCCTTCGACAACGTGAAAAGAAATACATACATACACACACACACACGTACTCGTAATATAAGTAATGACGAACGGAATACGCAATTACCGAATCCCTAATCAATTCGATTGAGAAACGCGGAAACGAATACGGATGAATTGCGCAAATAAAAAAAAAACGACTTTGAGCAGCGGCAGCAGTAAAATAAATATATAAATAAATTAACTCTAATTGGGTTGCGGGTTTTTGGATTTCGACGTATCTATTAAAACAAAAATTATTATTACAGTATCTATGGAAATGACGCTTTTCCTCGTTACATCTCTATGACAACCAAACAAATTGACGATTGTTTTTTTTAGGGAGTGCGCCACGATTAGAACTCATCGTCATCTTTCTGGGAATCAAGATCTCCATAGCAACCGAAAAAAACATTTAATCATTATCAATCAGATCGAAACGTCGAGTTCGATCTGATCGATAATCGACAGACGAGATTGCCTCGTTTATCAATCGATTATCAGACTTTCAGTTAAAGTGATGATTACATTATTTCCTTTCTTTTTTTTTATCGGAAGGATTATGTTGTAAGACTTTGTTTTTTTATTAATTAAAAATTTGGATGGACAACGATTGAATATGTTTTGTGCAAATTGCGCAAACATCGAAGAGGGCAGTGAGAGAAAGAGAGAGAGAGAGCGCGAGGTGGAAATAAATGAACTGCGTTTCGGCCTTCGGAGTCGTCCGTCGCGCTCTTTTACGACGATGTGTGTGTGTGTTGTGTTGTGGTGTTGAACCGAAACCGATTATTAATAATTCATTCTCTCCGTCCGTTGCTGTTAACGATTCGAATCGATTTGCATTTTATTTAAAATTAAACGATCAATTAGATGTTGTATCGCCGTGCAATATACATGTCTTTTGTTTTTTTGCGACATTAGGAAGACATTACTAGATTATTGACGTTAATTGTTGACAGATGAAAAGTTTGCAAACTGATCTAATAATGAAAGTGTATCATCATCATCATATGCACATACAAATTATTCAGTTCCATAAACGTCAACTTTCTCTTAATAAACGTTAATAACGTGTGCGATTATATTTTGACATCGTCTCGCAACTCGTCCAAAAACAAACAATCGTCGAGTTGACTAAATTGATTCTAACGACAATTGCGACAAACTTTACATTCAACTATAACAAAAAGTTGGAAGTGTGTCACGCAAATGTTATCAGTTTCTATTTGTTTCAATTATCAAAGTGTGACAATTGAAGAAACGTCAACTTTGTCTAACGTCAAATTAGACGTGCAAACGTCGAGTATGTTTTCAATGTTTCAAAATAGATGTGAAATGTTTATGCGGTGGAGATTAGAAATTCGAAGTTTCCTCGAGCACGTGGACCGAAAAAAATGGAAAGATTTGCACTTCTAAATATCATCATCATCATCGACAACGTGGACATGTGTAGCGCAGCCGATGAACTTTGCTGTTTGTCTGTTTCGTAAAACTAATTAATCAATTAATAAATAGCAAAGAATCGACGAGTGCAATAACAAAAATTATCGATAAATTCGACCTTGCTGTTTAAATTAAAGCGATTCCCCCCACAATTGCGACGCATATATCGTCGTCGTCTACAATCAATTCAATCACCTTATCAAATTGCAACCCCGGACGTGCTGAAAACAAGAACAAAAGGAAATAGAGAGAAACCTTCGTTACGTTGCAAAAATGTATTGCAGTTTGACTTATTTACGGATGCGACGAAACATTAAATAATATAAAACGAGAAGCGAGAAAAACAGAACGATAAATAATAAAGCGACGATTGCATAAGGGGACTGAAAAGTTGCGGCGATTTTCGAAATATGCGTTTGTTTATTGTTGCTGTTGTTGTTGTTGCTTGGATGCAGCAATCGATGTTTGCTATAAACAAATCGATATCGCTGAGTGGACTCGATTCGAACACAACAATCATCATCGTCATCAATAGCTTTTTCCCTTCTTCGTCGGTTACGTGCCTATCTGCAGGTCGAAACGAACGTGTATGAGTCTCTCGTATTCTTTTTGGAGGCGGCGGCGGTGGCGATCATCCCCAGATGTCGCCCACGCATTCAGCAAGTAAGTTTTTTTATATTTAAGTGCGCTTTATTATCGTCAGCCTCGTTTTTGTTTTTGCGACCGTTAAGTCAGGTTAGTGATTCCGATTGCAGCGAAGATTGAGCGTTTCGATAACGTGCACACATATATTTGTGCCGCGTAATTGCGATAATTATAGAAAACGCGACCAAAAAAAAACAAAAATAAAACACAACAACAACAACTACAGCGGCAGCTGATAAACAATCGAATGTTGGGTCATAAGATATAAAACAAAAAAATGGGATAGAATGTGTGCACAATTTCGAGACGCATCGCGTTAAAAAGGCGATCAAACGATACGAAACGAAACTATACTAAATAAAGTTTAATTGAAATGTCAAGGATTTCGTTACAATTTCGTTTCTCGCTTCACCATTATCCAATTTCGATCTCTCGTGTCTTGATGATAATATCATCATCGTGTGTGTGTGCACTCTACATACGCAACGATCTTTCCATCATCGTCCGTTTGCTGACCACAATGATATTCGCACACGTGATTCTTTACCCGAAATCACAATCAATCTCTGTGATCGCAGCAGCGATACGTCAAAATGACACATCCACACATGACAATTAAAGTATGACGTACGCGCTTAAAACTAAAATTGACGTCATTGACGATTGCGAAATGGCGTGCGATGGAAAACAAATGAAACAAAACGTCAAAAGTAAACAATAACATGCAGCAGCTCATTGTCGTTGTTTCAGGGTGTTTACAATTGCGCGCGCGAATCGTCGTGCACCGAAAATAAAACTTATCTGCAACGACGACGATGATAATAACGAATAACGAAATTGCAATAATAAACAAACAACAAAAAGGTGATTCGATTCATTCGAAACGACGCGAGTCGACAAATACGAAATGAGCTCATCCCGCGATGCACGTAACTACAACAACAACAACAACAACAATAATTACAAGTGGTCCTTTTGATGATTGTTATAAAGAATGTTTCCCGAAATTCAGAGGATGAATGCGACGCCGGATGAAGAAGGTAAAACCCTCTTATTAATTCTTATTTGACGCATTTCCACGCTACCCGTTGTTTGTTTGTTATTGCTATGGAAACGCGAATTAATGAAACAACGATCGCTGTCATTGAAATTGCAATTAATCAGTGATTGCGGATGGAAGCGTTCGAATGCACGTCGAATGCACGTCGAAAATTGACCAGGAAATCGGACGTTTCGCGTTCTTGAAGCGCCAGGAAACGATGACGGATTCTCGCACCTGCTTTGTTTTTGTTGTTTTTTTCTTGGTCGCCGAGGAAAGGCAACATCTTCTCCTGGGTTCCCATGGAGACGGCAATGGCGGCAATGAGCGCGACGTCCTAATCGGACAATCCGGTCACGTCGAAGGATTTTTCGATATTAATCGTTCCTTAGCCGCATGCAAATGGACGAAAAACGAAACGATCGTAAAGAAACAACAAAAAAAAAACAACAACGTATCATCATGACAAGGAGCCCGTCGTCTTTGGATGGGACAGCGTACGGAGTTTGTTGCACTCGGTTCATCCACCCTCGCACGACGACTTCAGCTGAATCAGAATACCTGAAACAAAACAAAAAAACATTGCTTCGATTTATTTGACGTTTCGTCGTTTGTCAAATGTTAAAAATGTACTTATGACGAGGCCCACGTTGATGAATCCGACCACGATCAGCCAGAGGATCAAACGTTGCCTCATCCTCATCGCCATGGCTGCAACAAACAAAAAAAACCAACAAACAAAAGTAATGATGAAGAAAAACGTGAATTACCGCTTCGTAATAGCAAAGAGATCGTCGTCCATGACGTGACGTGATCGCGAGTAATAACTGTGTGTGTCTAAGTACGCGTCTCTCTCTCACACACACACACACATGCACGCAGTAGATAGTCTCTTTTTTCTCGTCTCTTCCGCCTTCCGTTACTTTCAAGGCTGCAGGAGGCAAGAGCTTGAACCCGAGGCTCTTTATAACTGTTCCGAAGAGAACAAAACCATCCGTTCGTCCATCCAACAAGACTTGGCCGGCCCCGGGACGATGGAATTCGAGCGACACACATACATACAATATATCGGATCGCGGTGCAACTCCTAAACACCAAAATCGCAGAAATGTTCACTTTGATAAAAAAAAACACTTGCAAACTATTCTTAGCACTCTTATCTACTTACATATTCGCATTCTAAAAACGTCCTATTACTAATACCAGTTGGAAACAATAATAAAAGTAATCCTAATGCAAACTAAAACAATTCTATATAGTCAATGCAACATAAAGTTTGTAAAGTTTCAAGTCTAAAAACTATATGTTTATATGTACATAGTAGTTAAAGGAAACAGCAATTATTGCGTAAATGATAAATTTAAATTTATAAAAAAAAAAGTCTAAACTTAAAGCCGAACAAACAATTGACTCATTGAAACCGAAAATATACATATTCGCAAATCGCAGAAACCGTTTCCATCGAAACGACGTTCATTATCATCGCTCTTTTGTTTATAGGAAATAGTTTATTTACGAGCGACGGCCGACAAGTTGAACGACCAATTTCCGTATAATAATCAAACAAAGACAAGAAAGACAAACAAGATCACTTCCGTCTGCGTTCCTTGTCTTTCGCGCTGTGTTTCTAAATGTTTAATTATAAATTTATCAATAATCAGCTGATATCGTGTGTATCATCATCATCATCATGATCAAGAGAGATCTGCTTTTCATTTGTTTCAGGTTGTTTACTCCGCGGCCTTCGCGTTTCCTGCGCCCGCGCGCGTACACAGAGAAAACATATGAACGAACAAACGAACATCGTCGTCGTAATCGCGTACACGTCGCGACTCGATTTAAATATTTAAATATTTCCTCGTTTGATTTTCGTACAGAAAATAATAATAATGAAAAGACCTTCGACGCTTCGACTTTAATCAAGATAAAGAAGGTCACCGAAAATCGCTCAAAACATACAGAAATACGATATAAATATATATAGAAGAAGAAGAAGAAGAGCGTTCCCGCGTCCATCTCTAAATTTAACCTCTCGCACACATTCAGAGACACACTTTACTGACCTTTCGCAAATTGACCTCTTTTTTTTNTCTCATCGCATCTCGTCTCATCTCCCGTGTTCCATCCGCTAAAAAAGCGACACTTTTCTGACGTAGCTGACACTTTGTTTATTTGTTTTTGTTGTTGTTTTTTTTTTCTGTTGTTTTCGTAAAACAAACTGTCAACATGCGGTGTTGTTTGTTCGTCGCTATGGATGTCTGGATCGCTGAAAGAAACAAAAAAAAGAGGATCAATCGAAATTTGTTTATTGTAACGATCGTAGCAATCATTTTGCGCAGCACTTATTTTGTTATTGTTATTTGTTGTTGCTGCGATCGAGAATTATGTTGCAATTCGCCACTAGACTAGAAACTCCTCTATTCATCATCATCACATATCGCGAATTAACGATAAACTGGCAAACACTTTTGTTTTAGCTTTAGTTTTTTTTCTTTACATCAAAATTATGATTATAAATAAATTAATAATTCAACATACTTTTAACACGTTAAGGACGGCGCTTTTCGGGTTGCTTGCCCCCAGAAAATTTTTCGTGGACGCCTATGGACTGATTGAAACGTCAAATATTTTACGTCAATTATAACCTTTAAACGTTTAAATTTTTCTTTTACATTTTTTAATGATATTTATAACAATTGTGGGAAAAATATTTAAATTTTTTGCAGACTGCCGCTGCTCAGCTCCTAAGCAATCGAAGATGTTCATAAAAATAAATAAACATTTCTATTATTGAATGATCCTATTTTATTTTTGTTATATTCAATAAATATTCCCAACAGGATTCGAATTTTCTTGAAACGCAGAAAAAGTGCTATAGGTTTTATAATAAGCAATAATAATAATTGATCATTGCAAATTGATCATTGATCAATGAAAATTTCAAATATGTTTCGCAAGTTAATTTGTAAAGTATGTCTCAATTATATCACAATAACACGTATTGTTTTAAATTGCTTCAAGAATTATTAAAATATGTATAAGAAATGTATTGGCGTTTGAAGTTTGTAATTGACTTAAGATATTTGAGGTTATTCTCAGTCAAAATCAGTGGCGTACATAGCAACGAAACTTTTATTTATAATTAATGACCCACCGGTGGGTCATGCCGTCGTCAATGTGTTAAACTACATAATTTTCTTGACCTATTCCAAATCCAGGTATATTCACAGTTCGATTACGTTTTGTTTACCTAACGAAATCATATTTTTCTTAAAAAAAAAACATGATAATTTCGTTCCAAGAATCCGCTGTAGGTGCAATAAAATTACCTTACCTTACCTTTTTTTCCTTTCTTTTTTTACTTTATCTATATTTTCCTAAGCAATCGTTTAAAACAAAATTAAGTTTTATTATGTTATTTGTTTACTAATATGCCGAAATGATTTTCTTGGAAATTTTAAAAATAATTCCCTTCGGTATCGTAGCACATTTCTTCCTAGAATAAAACATAATTCAATTGTTTTAATTAATAATTGCAATCAACAACAAATTCTTACCAACTTTACAAATGCATTTGCATCCTACAATATCAATAATGTTGTCATGGTAATATTAAATAGTTTCTCTGAAAGAAAATTTTACGCTTACAGAACGTTTCCTGGTAACAATAAGTAGATTCGCTGAATCAAAAGGAAACATTACAGATTTGCAACTCGATTTATCTAAAAATTCCTGGAATGTAACTTTACATTTTTCTAAAAAAAAAGAACAAAATAGTTAAATTTTTATTGCAATCATTTATTTTACTGCTTTCTTTCTACCTGCATTTATAAACGACTTAATAAAATTATGTTTTCCCCTGATAAATGTTTGAGCAATTTCTCGCTAAAACGAAAATTACAAATTAATCATTAAAAACGAGTTAATTATTTATCACCTGTATCCTAATTAATAAATCATGTTTCCATGGCGATTTTTCACTTGTTTTCCCTTTAAAAATTGAACAACTCTATTATCTAAACTAAAATTTGTTGTTGTTGTTGTTTTTATGCTTACAGAACGTTTCCTTGGTTAACGACTCAATAAAATTATGTTTTCGCCCCGATAAATCTTTGTGCAATTTCTCGCTAAAACGAAAATTACAAATTAATCATTGAAAACGACACTCAATTATTTATTACCTGCATCCTAATTAATTATTTAATCATGTTTCCATGGTGATTGTTGTTGTTGTATTTGTTGTTGTTGTCTTTATGTTTACAGAACGTTTCCTTGGTAATAATAAATAGATTCGCAGAAGCGAAAGGAAACCTTACAGAGTTGCAACTCGATTTGTCTAAAAATTCCTGGAATGTAATTTTTCATATTTTTCTAAAAATTTCCTACCTGCATATAATAACAATAACTCTTCAATTATGGACTCAATAAAATTACTTTTCCCCGATAAATTTTTGAACAAATTCTTGTTAAATTGAAAATTACAAATTAATTTGTAATTCCTGTATACTAATTAATTGTATATTCAAGTTTGCTTGGTGATTTTTCACTTGTTTTCGATATATAAAATAAATAAACAAATATTACATATTAATAAATTTGTTGAATTTTTGTTTTGAAATGTGCCTACTTAGTTTTAATTAAACTTATTTTCTTATATACCTTACTTCGTTACTTATTTTCATTAATAATGTGATTGATGATTTCCACAACGATTTAACATACGTTTCTCACAACACGATATGTTTGATGATATCAGATGCGAAGAGTGTAAAGTACGCGAGAGGAGAGGCGTCAAAAATGTACACAAACACACACACACACGCGAAACTAAATATAAATTCGTTCTATTTGTGGAAATCGCGGCCGACGTGACTTTGATTTCAGCGGAGGCCGAAGCGCGCAATGTTTTTGTTTCATCTTCGTCTTCTCCGTGAAAATGATGAGATGATTATGATGATGCACATTGTGTTTTCCTCTCTCTCATGTATGCATGTTTTGCGCGTGTCGTCGCGAGTCGCGTTACGTAATTAATTATGCGGGAATCGAACGTGGTTTCCGACGGCGATGATTTCATTCTCTCGATTTCCCGTGATAACAGCACATTACGCGTTATTCCCGCGGCTTTCATCATCGTCGTCGTCGTCGTAATCCCGAGAATTAACAACGCGATTTATAAAAAAAGAAAAAACCTATCGCGTGTCGCGCCTCCAAACCCAGTTCTACATCACTTCTCCGCGCACCACAAGAATCGCAACCGTTTGATTTGTTTTTTGTTTAATTATAATAATATCAGTGATATTGTTTTCTCGTTGCCATAGTGCATATTTGTTTTTGTTTGTTTTTTGTGGACGTATATGTTAATTACATTTCGCGATGATCCCGATTTGTTTGGATCGTCGCCTTGGCGACCCGCGCGACGCCCATCATCATCTGAAAGGTAACAAACGATTAGATCATGCAATCATCATCGTCATCATCGAAACAACAACACCATCGATTGTCATCTTTGTTCCATTGTCTCCGAAGAGCGGCCTTCGCGATAAACACGTAACCATTATCATATCTCACGCGCGGATAATTCGCTTTACCGTTTCTTTCTTTCTTTCGCATTTTAACATTTTACGCAAATGATTGATTTTGGCATTGTTTATAATTAAAACAAACTTTGTTTTGTTTTCATATGTACAATATCAATCATTTGTTTCGTTTCCATAGTTTCCTAGTTTTTATTTTTAATTGTTTTCTAAGTTCCATAACTGCAATTACATCGCAGATAGCTAAAAAAAGATCAAATGATTGATTTTGAATTGTTTATAAAAATAACAAACTTTGGTTTGTTTCATATGTACAATATCAATCATATGTTTCGTTACCATAGTTTTCTAGTTTTTATTTTTAATTTTATTCAAAGTTCCATAACTGCAATTACATCGCAGATAGGTAACAAAAAAAGATCAAATGATTGATTTTGAATTGTTTATAATTAAAACAAACTTTGTTTTTAACTTTGGTTTAGTTTGCATATGTACAATATCAATCATATGTTTCGTTACCATAGTTTCCTAGTTTTCATTTTTTTTTCTAAGTTCCTTAATTGCAATTACATCGCAGGTAGATAGAAAGGTAATTTGTTTATCCATTTGAACTTTCCCTTTTTCAACTTTTCTTGCAACCCCCTTAATACCTCCACCACCCACCCTGGTATAAATAAGGCTTGCAACCCTTGGTAGAGCATCAGTTTCGTTGAGCAGTTACTTCAGTTAACATACCAAGTGCTAACCAAATTTACCACCACCACTACACTACAGTAATTATCATCCCCTAATTGCAACTTTTGGATATAAATAGAGTTTGCACCCAGTGATAGTTAGTCAGTTTCGTTTAACAGTTACTTCAGTTAACATACCAAGTGCTAACCAAATTTACCACCACCACCACTTTTCATTTGCTGAAAATATCATCCCCTAATTGCAACTTTAGAATTTAAATAGAGTTTGCACCCAGTGATAGTTAGTCAGTTTCATTTAACAGTTACATCAGTTAACATACCAAGTGCAAACTTCGAGTACATTTCATCGCATCATCATATGTAAGTACACCTTAAAAAGTTTTAATATTATCATCATCATCATTTTAAACAGCAAATAACTACTTCAACTAGTTCAATAGCGATTGAATTGTTGGTAGATGTATAGAAATAGATAGATTGTTAGTTATTTGTTGTTTGAAAATTTTGTCGATTTCGCTGGAAAGCGCGATGAAGAGTGGAGCGAACGGGATTCTGCGCATTCCGAGTCGCGTTTTCCGCGTTATTTCTTCGCGGGCCTACTTCGATTCCAATCAGTTACGAACGAAATTTCTCAGAGTGTGCGCGTCTCTCTCTCATATATATATACAAAATAAAAAACTATCGAAAATTTTCTATTATTATTCATACGGGAAACGAGAGAAAGCGCTTCTTTTTTTGACTATGTTAAAGGCGGGATATTCGTATTCGTTTGTGCCGTGGGGCGTCGGGTCACGTGTTGCGTCGGCGCCGCCGCCGTCACCGGGCAACCGAATCGTCCGTCCGTCGTTGTAGTAACGCGCTCCGCCAGTATTAGTAGTACTTGAGCAAGAGGCGCTCGCTGTGCGTACCTCCTCTGCATAAGCTGTACCGACGACAAAAAAGATCGAGTGTGTGTGCGTGCGTGCGTGTGTTTGCAAGTGTTCGCGGCGAAGAGAAATTTCGTTGAATGCGCGGTGCTCTTCTCTCGCTGTTTCGTTCTAATTTTAATTATATTGGATGTATAATATAACGCTTAAAAAGTAAAACGAATCGGGAGTAGTAGCAGCAGTAGCAGCAATCATGGAGAGCGGCGAATTGGCGATCGCGGCCGTCGCCTTCATCGGGGTGTGCTTTTTCCTGTTGAAGTACATCGTGGGAGTCTTCAACGGGGCTGATAGAAAAGCCGGTGGACGAAATGAAAAACAAAGTGAGTCATTTGCGATGATGATGATGTTGATGGAGAAGAGAGAAAGAGTTTGTTGTTTGCAAATTTCCAATTCGATCCTCGGCCTACCCCAACACGTGGTTTTTGAGGTTACGCACCCCGAAGCCGCGAGTTAGTGAGATAGAGCACGCGTGCGCCTTCACCCCTCGTCCATCCCTCTTCGTTTGCCATTCAAAGGGAAGACGAAGACGACGACGACGACCACACGCGATGTTACAATTGGAAAACCACGTGCTCGCTATCTCTCTCGAACACACACACTCATCACTTCCCAACGAGAGCAGTTTGTTACACTTTTGGCGGCGCACATGTTTTCACGAGCATTTTCAATGTCATCTCAATTAGGAAGAGCAACTTTTGCCTAGATAAGATAAACTCTAGCGCCTTTTTCTCTCCATCTTTTTCTCACACTTTTAGCAAACGACGGCGGCGGCGGCGACTCCTTCTTCCTTACGAGATTACGGGCACGAGACCCACGAGTTTTGGTGGCCTTCACTCCATCTATCTCTCTCTCACGCACTCACTTTATATAGCGACGACGCAATTTCATTCAGATTCTCCAATCTTGTAGTATCGTAATGAATATAATATATTCGTTTACAATTTTTTTTGCTCGTCGAGTGCAGAAACGAGTGAGTCAAAGGTGTTCCGGGAAAGGCTAACAAACACCTTTGACTCATGCACAGACACACACACAGGTCGGACCCTGTCTGGTCTGCCCCAATCGAAGAAGACGTCCAATTCAGATGAAGACTCTACGGAAAATGTAAAAATTATTAAATTTCATGCCTAGAGAGAAAGAGAGAGATAGATTTTAATTTTTCGTTCGTGCCATTACCAAAAACGGTCGCGTAGCATTGTTAATCTCGCTATGGTTACGATATGTAGACGAATTAATAATAATAATTCCAATTATAAATTCAAGCATGGTTTGTTGTTGATGTTGTTGTTTTGCAATGCGAGGAAACGCACCGAATTAATATACAGAGTGCGCGCCAACCTTCGCAGCTCGCGCTTTTTTTTTTAGTTTTTTTTGTTTGATTCGGCTCTTTTCAACTTAATTTATGCAACAGCAACAAATCATTTGCTTCTGCTTCTGTATCTAACAACATTTTAAACAATATGCTTACCTTTTTTTATGTTGTTCTTTTTGTTGCAGATATTCGTTCTGCAGCTTCAGAGGAAGAAAAGCAGACGACAACCGGACAACATCACCAACAGCAGCAGCAGCAGCAGCAATCCGTGAGAAAACGAGTAGGTGGTTCGTCGAATCATTCCACCAGAAAGTCGCAAGCAGTGAATTTGCAGCATCCCTGGCTCGTGTCCACGTTGAAAGGACACGAAGGATCAGTACTAGATCTTAGCTATTCCAGCAACGGGAAATACTTGGTCTCCAGCTCACAAGGTAAGGACGAATTTCTTTTATCTCGCTTCAGATTCGACAGAACATGCAAAAGAAGAGAAAAATTATTATAATGATAACAATAATAATTGTAATTATTATTTCATTGTTTCATTTCGATAACGCTTATCAAAACTTAAAGTAAAGTCACCGAAGTAATCTCTCAAGTGCGTAACTTGTGCCCCCCAGTCATTGTTACGCAACTTTATTATTTGTTTTTTTTTTACATCTTATAAGACATCGAGTGTGCGAGTGTGTTTTTCATTAATTTTATATTTCTAGGATGTTTTCTTTTTTCAAATTATAAATACACGCCGGGGAGTTTCGGGGTGGTTAACGTGAGTGTGCAAAGTGTTCGATTCATACTGATTCGACGATGAAGATATAATAATGAAGTGATATGATTGTGATTTTATAAGTTTGAAATATTATTATTTTTTTTATTATTATTTTTTTCTTCTTATGTTCTTCAATTACCACTAGTACTACTACTAGTAGTACTCTATGTGAAATGGGAAGTGAAATTGATTGATAATTTTCTTTGATAGGCGACGGTGTTGTAAGTGGACGTGAAATCGAGGAAGAGATCATCATCGTCAGCAGTAGCAGCAGCAGCAGTAGCAGTAGCAGCAACAGCAGTTCACCTGTTTCGTCGACGTCATCTTCACCATACTTGGGAAGATCAAAGAAAAAGGCAGTAACAGGACTTTCACGAAGACAGAAAAAGAATCGTAAAAGTAAAATGGCATCGAATGGTTCGTCGGCGGTTGGTACCGCCAAAACCCAGATAGAATTAGACTCGCTATTGCAATTGACGATGTATGTGCAAGAGCAAGTCTTGTCACCCGAGACTATGATGAAGATGGGCTATCCTATGCTGGATCCTGTTGTAAATCATGTTAAAATTTACAAAGAGGATTTGCCGTTCATGAAGAAGGCTGCAATCGCGGAAGCGGCAGCGTCTGCATTGGCTGCATCGCGTTCTGCAGTTTCCGCCTATGCGACGATCACGAGTAACCAGCAGAAACCGACGACTGCGGATATGTCTGCTGCAAAAACGGCATCGGTGGAAGCTCAAAAAGCTGCGAAGGCGTCGGAAAGGGCAGCGGCAGCGACGACGACGGTCGAGGCGGAGGAAGAGGCAAATATTGCCGCTTGCTCGGCCGCTGTGGCAAAGTCGATCTTGGATTCACTGGACAATAATAAATCGTTAAATGTGAATGCTCGCGAGTACGCACCGCATACTACAGACACGTCTGACGGCAGCAGTGAGAGCGGAGGAGAGAACGATAGCGATGATAGCGGTTACTCGGGCATAGTCAAAGTGAAGAAGTGCGTAAGGTGCTCAAGCAAATTTCGCATCGACGCTGAGAACATGGATTATTTGAGCACGGAAAAATGCGTTTACCATTGGGGTAAGCTTCTGAAGCCGTGGCCCGAGGCGCCAGAGCACAGATACACGTGCTGCAACGGCGTTAAAGGTTCGGAGGGATGCAGCAACGGACGTCTGCACGTGTGGAACGGCATCTCCGAGGGCGAGAACGGTCCCTTCTATGACTTTGTAACTTTGCGAGAGGCAAGAACCGAAGAGCAGCGCAACAACCCCGGCATCTTCGCCATAGACTGTGAGATGTGCTACACGACGGCCGGCATGGAGTTGGCGCGCGTCACCGTCGTCGATCACACCGGCAAACTGTTGATGGATCGTTACGTGAAACCGAAACACGACATCATATGCTACAATACGAGATTCTCGGGCATCACTGCCGAGCACATGATGCCCTTCGGCCCGGCTATTACCTTGAAACGCGCGATACGCGAGCTAGAGAATCACGTCTGTGCGGAGTCCATCCTAGTCGGGCACGGATTGGACGGCGATCTTCGCAGTTTGCGTCTGGTTCATGACCGATGCGTAGACACCGCCTATCTGTTTCCCCATTCACAGGGTCTTCCGATGCGTCGCGCCCTTAGGCATATCGTCGCCGCTCATCTGAAACGCAACATCCAGACCGGTTCGGACGGTCACAGCAGTTTCGAGGATGCTAAAGCCACCATGGATCTTCTTGTGTGGTACATCAAGCAGAACGTGGCTGATAGGTTCTAAAGAATCATCACACGCCGTACGAGACCGCGACCATCGGACACTTTGCAAAGTGAGATGGGATATCGTACATAGGCGATGGCGATGGCGGCGGCAGCGGCAGCGGCGACGAGGACGTACTGGTAATTACTGGAAATAAAGGGAGGAAATCATGAAATTGATATATATATATATATAAATAAAATTCGGTAAAAGTGCCTTACTTAAATAGCAATAATAATTTATTTATATGTATATAGTGAGAAAGATAGGAAGTGATAATGACTGAAGCGAATGGAGGAGAAGCGCTCCATTCAAGTGATAATTATATATATATATACATACATATATAAGAAAAGACACTTCATTCCTACAAAAAAAAAAAGCGACCCCAATTGACCCCAACGCAACCCCCCGAATTAATTTATGAACCCCAAAAGACTGAAATCGATTTATATATAAGGTATAATTTATTTTTTACGCGCAACGACGACTCGAGTGATAATAGTAATTCGTTGACGAATAGGTGATATATAGATTATGTTTTGCAAATGTTTGTAAAATTGCAAGAATCTCTCCTATCGGGTCGACCTCTTCGTATCGTTGGAAAAGATGCACAGACGACCGACCGACCGTTTCCGACTATTTCTTTTTTTTCTGTTCGTTATGTGTAAATGTTTTAATTTGTATTTCTTTTGATTAGTTTTGTACTCCTTTTTGTATTAGTAACGGAACCACCACCACCGATGAACGTAAAGCGAATTTGTGATTCTTTTTTACCATTATGCGATTAAATCCGGACTCGAATATCATCACTGTTGGATAATTCGAGACGGACATAAATAAATTTGAAGACTCGTTTGATAAAAATAAATCTTGTATTGTTTTTTACACAACCTCTCCTCATCCCCCTAACAAAGTCTTTACCTAATTAATCAGTCGATATTTAGGTCAAGCCTCCTCCACCACCGCCGTCTTCTACCTCATTTTTGCATAATATTTTCTTTTATAATAATTGTGTATATAGACGATTTTGTTAGGAAAAGATGAAAAGCAAGTAGGTTGAGGCGAACAAACGCTAATTGTTACATCAAACAGCAAGAAAGTTCCGATTCCGAGTGAATTAAAATTCCAAATCGATTAGACTATGTCTCTTCGCGTTTTGCCCGAATAAATCGGCATCATTTTATTTTTTTTATATGTGTGCGGTAGTTTCGGCGTAGCTGTAAATTTACAGTAAATTTTCCAACTAGCCAAAGACAGACGGACGGACGACCGTTGCACTGAAAACACCTCTAACTGTACTCCTCTTTCTATCTTTCGCATTATACATACAGGTTTCGAAACGCGAACACCAACAACACTCTTATGGTTTTTTTTTATATATATATGAAAGAGAGGAAGAGAAAGAGATTTGTTCGCCAATGTAGGAGAGTTTTTGGCGAGAAAGAAATGACCGGCACGAGAGAAAGAAACAAATTATAATGTTATGTATCGCTCGTGTATTATTCCGAAACGCGATTTGGGTTAAAATATGAATTTGTTTAAATAACTTTCACGACGTTAATCCAAAGATTTTATATGCGAATAAAAAAAACACGCTGCAGACGGAAAGAACGGTAATCTACTTGATGACACACAAAAGCCGTCGTGCAATACGATCAAAAGTATAGTTTCCCGACGGTTTGATGAAATGTACAACACTGAAATTGTACACATGTAATAAATGCATCATTAATTTGACAAATCTACTACTAATTATTCCGAAGGAAGATAGCTGATTATTACAACGAGCTTAAATATTGAATTAAGAAGAGTTGCAATTTCTAAAAAAAAATAAACGTCTAATTAATGTGATGAGTGAACGGAGTGGAGAAGTTGAGCGACATTGAAATGTGTTATTTGACTTGATGGACATTCGACGTTAGGAACGCCGTGAGTTGGTGAGTCACGAATGCAAATCTAAGCCTTGGTGCAGAGGAGAACGAAATTTCGGGCGTTTGTTGAAGTGCACTGCAAGTGAAATAGTAATAATATAAATAAGAAAGAAAGAAAAAAGTGTAGATATAATGAAAATTGAGGTGAAGGCGAGATTTGGCGACGTGCCGAATGGAGAGTGCACGATATATATGTATATATAAACCCATTCTGTTTTAAAGTGACGAAACTAGCAAATGCCAAATAAGTTTCTCCACCCTGTATATATCTTACACACACACTTACAAACATGCGCTTACTACCATCAATTCAATTTCACTTTCTCTCTTACTTTCACTATCTTCGCTCTGGGCGTTTTTTGTTTCTTTTAATAGCAGTATATGCATTTTTTTTATATATTTGTTTTTGATGTCTTGCAGATTGCACGGTGATGCTATGGGATGTCCGTGATCCGAACCAAAAAAACAGGAAATCGGTCAAATGCAACATCCGCGATTACGGGGTGGCGCACCTGGTGCGTTTCATACCGAACGGTAAGGGTTTCGTCGTCTGCAAAGCGAACAACGAGTGCGAGGCCTTCAAGTTGGAGAAGAGTCCCGACGGGGGGATCGTGATGAATGCTCAGGGCATCACCAGCAAGGTCCTCCCCTACGATAAGGTGCGCACCGCAACCGACTACTTTACAAAACAAATTGATTTAACCTGCTACGTTGTTTCTGTGGGTAGGGCTTCGAAGAAGACGAATCCATCGTCGGTTTGGATATTGCCTGCACGGGAAAGTATGTGGCCACCTGCTCTACCACGTCGCTGGTTATCTGGGACATGAAGGGCAACGAACTGAGTCGCATCTCGACTGAGTCGGCTAGGTCCAAGGGAGGCGCGAATCGATGCTGCAAGATATCCCCCTGCGGAAAATTCATATCAATCTGCTGCGGTAATTAACAATAACATCACATCACTTACATGAAGAATTGTTCTATAAACTGTTGTTTCGTCATCGAAGCAGGTCGTGCGATCAAGATGTGGGAGGTCATGTTCAACTCGTCCGGTGAATTCGAGGAGATCAAAGCCATCTCCGGACTACCCGTCGGCGATTACGATGACGTCGCCTACGACCAAAACACCTCGCACATGGCATTGGTTTCCCAAACGAAAAACACTTGGGAGATGTTCTACACCAACGGTAAACAGTCTGCAAAACGTAAATCGATTATTATTATGATTAATACAAATGTTTGTTGCTTTCAGTGGAATTCCGGAAGGGCACTTTCCTGAGATTAAAGGTATCCGGTCTCTATGCCGGAAATGATCCGCCAAAGGTGGCGCTGTCACCCGACTCGCATGTGGTTGCCGTTGCCAGCGGAAATCGTCTCTCCATCTTTTCCACGTTGGACGCCGATCTGCTGCACGTTATCGAAGATGTTGAAAGCGGTAAGTGATGAACGACCGATTTAATACTATTCTTTATACTCACTCCATCGCACGACAATTTGCAGATCCAATAACCGCAATCCTGTTTGATTCGAGCGGGAAATATCTGCTGGAGTCGATCGGACGATACGTGCGCGTCTTCCATAACGTGCTTGGTCATCGGGGAAACATCATCGCCGCCCGGGAAAAGCTCAAGGAGCAGCAGACCTCCGCCACCAAGGAACGTCTGCAACAGTTGATCGCGGACAGCGAAAACTTCTTGAAACAATTTTAATGGACCCGTTCCTATTCTTTTATACTTTATTGTACTGCAACGATAATAATTAATTGAAATAATAAAGTTTCTGACTAAATCTTCTACGTAATTTCTTTTTTTTTTCTGCTTTCTTATAATGCAGAGATCTAGTGCACATAAGCTGTCAGAGAGACAGTTCGGCTTGGAAGCAGAGTTCCAACAGATGTGAGTAGATGAACGTTTTAGGATTGTTGCTGGTTGTTGGGATTTTGGGGAACGGTTGGTTGGTGAATGCGTTCAGGGCGGACCTGCTGCTAGCCACGCAGATCGTCCACCAGGAGAAGAAGTTCTCGGAGGCGGCTGTCGTGACCAATTCGGAGATTTGCACCAACATCGGACTGTGGGTGCGGACCCGATTCCCATTTCGCAGATTATTTAACATGTTTTTTTTTACTACTACAGTGAGATCCTTTCGGAAGAGGGAAGCGCCGCAGACGCAGCCATCGGCGCGCTACTCTGCGAAGGCGTGACAAATCCGCAGAGCATGGGTGTCGGTGGCGGCTTCCTACTGACCTTTTACAACGGTGCTACCAAGAACGTGGAGGTGCTGAACGCGCGCGAGTCGGCGCCCAAAGCCGCTAGCAAGGATATGTTCGGAGGACCAGCATCGGGAGACGGCGATATCGGAACGGGTGCACTCTCTGTCGCCGTTCCCGGGGAACTTATGGGCTATTGGGCACTCCATCAGAGATACGGGAAGATGTCCTGGTATGACATTTTCAAGCCGACGATCGATCTCTGCGAGCACGGGGTGACTGTGACGCATTATACGGCGCGGATGATCGGCCATCTCCGCGACGAAATCCTCGCCTCGGCCACCATCAAGTAAGTCTGTAAGTAAGCTTGCAATGCAATCCGATTTACAACTAATTGCCACCCACCTATCTCTCGCAGAGATCTGATGACTAATCCGCAGACGGGGGACCTCTACAAGGAGGGTGACTTAATGCTGAGACCGGCGCTTGCGGAAACCCTGGAGATGGTCGCGAAGCACGGCCCCTCTGTCCTCTACCACGGCAATCTGACCGAAGATTTCATCTACGATATCAGAGATAACGGAGGCATCATCACCGTCGAAGACATGAAACATTACAGGTTATTTAACAAAAAAGATATTTCGCCAGTCATTCACTTGCTTACTAAATATATGGATTCGGGTGATCTATTTCAGCGCGTCGTGGTTGACTCCTGTCAGCGGTGTGATCGGCGATTTCAAGGTTTTCTCTGCACCATCTCCTGGATCCGGCAGACTGCTGCTAACGATACTCGAGGTGATGAGCAAAAAGCTATCTTGCAAGGACGATCTGTTCTGGCATCGCCTTGTCGAGTGCTGGAAGTTCGCTTTCGGCTTGCGCAGCTCCATGACCGGTCCGTGCATCGGAGATAAGGCGACAAACGACAGCAAACAGCACGACGGAGCCGTCGTCCGCGACATCATCAAAAAGATGAAAGACTGTTCGATCTATCCGAGTCCCAAGGACTACTTCGAGCATGGTAAACCGGCGGCCCCGGATCACGGCACCTCGCATCTCGCCGTTCTGGCACCAAACGGAGATGCCGTCTCCGTTACCAGCACGATAAACTTGAGCTTCGGCTCGATGTTCGCCTCCGAGTCGACCGGTATCATCCTCAACAATGAGATGATCGATTTTAGCATCCCACATCATTACGATTTCAAGTCGTCGAAAGGCGACGGCAATCTGATTGCGCCCAACAGGCAACCGATGTCTTCGATGCTGCCCACCATCGTGCTCGACAAGAATCGCGACTTGCGGCTCGTGATTGGATCTTCGGGCGGCTTCAAAATCATCACCTCGACCAGCGCCGTCATTCTTCAGCATCTGTTCATGGGCGTCGGTCTCGAGGAAGCCGTCCACAACAGAAGACTGCACCATCAGCTCAGACCGATGCTCGTCGAGTACGAGGAGGGTTTCCACGACGAGGTTCTGCATTCGCTCATGTCCAAGGGTCACAAGTTGCAGCAGCTGGACGCCGCCTCCAAGCCGAACACCAGCTCCAGCATGTCCATGCACTCGGGCGTTAACGCCATCGCCGTCGTCTCCGGTGAGATCCACGCCGTTGCCGATTCCAGGAGGACCGGCGTCGCGGACGGCTACTGACTGAAGCACCTACTCACAATAATCCACAATTAAT